GTAAAGGTCCAAAGCGACAATATTATTTTGGGGGCAATTTTGGGGGCAATTTGGGATTCATACAATATGAAGAGGATAACAACGTGGAATTCATGCAGCTGGCTTAGATGCAAATATAGGTCTGAAGCAACAATTTAGGGACAATTTGGCATTCAACCATACAATATGAAGAATTTTTCAGTGTTGCTTAACATGACATTGAAGTCGCCGGCTACAATATACGTTAAGTGAAAAAAGAGAAATGTGAGTGCAAATGTGTGCATGTGGTTGTTGTCTCATGTTAATAAAGAAACCATACTCACTCCTCCCCATCTTCTTTCACGCAGCCCTGCCTACAAAAGTCTGGTTCTTGCTGCAGTCCAGTCTCCGGGTCCGCATCTTGAAGACAAAGAAACAAAAGTCACTGTATTGACAACAACAGTTGGCCTTACTAATGCAAGATATTATTTCACACATCATGCAAGTTTATGACAGTAAGAATGGAGCTAAATGCTAAGTGCAATGTGGGACACCAAGGAGGTGATACTGGAGACATACAATGTAACCTCTTTTGTCAGCCTAATCGTTTGAAGATGTGAAAAGGAGTCTGGAGTCGGGGAAGTAAAGGTCTAAATCCTCGGTAAAAATGCAAGTCGTGAATGTCTGAGACCGTATACTGCTGTATTTGAGACAAGTGACCCCCTCTCTGTGTGAGGGGTCAGCTTTGTGGACGAGACTGAGAATACTTTACACACGCCAAAGGTCAACAGTCGCGACCATTTTCATGCTCAAAGGGGTGTTTTGGGGCCACCAAAAGGCACCATTTTCCCGCCCGAAAACACATATACAATAAAAACAAAAGAATGTGCATCATCTACAGCCCAATAGCAGAATATATACCAACTCTCAAAAGAATCTGTCCACCCAAGCGAGAAACAGCTGCAAACATGAAAATATAAATCTCTCACAAAACCCTTTCGTGGAAGGATGTCTGCTTCCCCGGAGGTAATAACATATGTGAGGCAAGAAATAAGTCGTAAGTTGTCAAGCAAGTTGCTTGAATCGATGCACAAAAAGATAAGCTTTTCAAAGTGTTACTGGTAGCAAGCTATGCCACAGCTCTTAATAATACATCCAATAGGAAAGGAAAAATGTATATCAAGTTGGAAAATATGGTCTCACCTGTACAAACTCTTCACTCTGTCTTCAACTTAAGTCAGCTGTCTCATCTAGCCTGGTTTGGACAGGAACATCAGGACTGCTGACCCTAATTATACCTACATAATTATAAAAGAACAATTGATGCCAATGTACATGGCTATTGTATATCAATGGGTAATTAGCTACCAGGTAAAGATGATCTCTTGTATGCGACCTTTTACTTTGCCTCTTCCTAGAAATGTCGACAAGTGCTCAAGAAGTCTAATATACTAGTCATTTATTCAAGTCAAAGGCAATACAAAATTAATGTGAAAGATGTTTTGCTACATGTGTGTTATTTTTATAAAGTGTATAAGGGAAGAGTGCTAGAGTCAAACAGATCTTCAAAAGCAATCATTATCTCACCTGTGGATGTTGTTGTTGTCATCTTGCTCTTGTGTCTCTAAATCACCCGATCTGGTCCAATCTTCTCTTGTCAGGTCCAGACAGTAGTCTTCAATACTGCATCAGTCACCAGCCACCTATACAAACATTAGAAGTTACACACTTGTCTCAAATAACAAAGCAAATAGTAGGTTGAATGCAAAATTCAGATTTTTCTCACCTGAGAGTCATCGTCGGTCTTCAAATCACCTGGTCTGGTCCAATCTTCTCTTGTCAAGTTTATGGAGAATTCACCACTACTGCATCAGTCACCAGCCACCTAACTATACGGACATTAGAAGTTACACACTTGTCTCAAATAACATCAAATAGCTGTAGGTAAAATGCAGAATTGGGATTTTTCTCACCTAACAGATATTCCTCTTGGGTCTTCAAATCATCTGATGTGGTCCAATGTCAGGTTCAGACAACAGTCTTCACTACTGCATCAGTCAGCAGGCACCTAACTATGCAGACATTAGAAATTATACACTTGCTTCAAGTAACGCCAAATAGTTGTAGGTGAAATGCAGAATTCAGATTTTTATAAATATAAAAATTTCAATCTCAGATTTTACCAAAGTCAAGTTGGAGAGTCTGGGATTTACCGCTCAACAACTGATTACCATTCATTAGAAAAATCTTGACCTGTTCTAAATCAAAACACCGCCTTACAGTCCTTAAGACTATAGTGGATTCTTGGTTCTTGGTGTCTTTTCTACCTGCGAATTTACCTTCCTGAGCACCATGTGACGTATATGATTACCCTGGAATGGCCTGGATACGGTCTTTGATACATAAAACAACTCTGTTACCGCCCCCCTCCCCTCCCCACTCGAACTTACCGGTCGTATGTCTCCCCTCCTTGCAAATCTATCACCTTATCCATGTCATCCTCTACACAAACGGTACTATCGTGTCCCCTCTGTATGCTATCAGCCTCGGAACACTTTTGTTTTAGACTGAAACGCATAGAATTTGACCAAAACACACAGGACAACAACAAACCACGTTTCAAACAAAGCTGTTCAGGTCAGGGGTCACATAAAGGCGCCCCTCAGCGGATTACTTGAAAGTGCACCTCTTAAGATAGGTGTCGTTTTTCTATTTCAGGATCATTAATTTCACCCTCATTGAATAAAATTTGATTGACCCGTGTTCAAATGATTGGTGGCAAAAAAAAAACAGTTGAATAAATGAAAGCTAGACTAATAGTGCTTTTTTATCGACCACGCAAATGCGCCTCCATCGGTTACTTAACTAAGTGCAGCGTTAACACGTGGGAATAATTGCCGAAAGTTATTATCGAAATTCTGTCTTTTTGCTTCATTTAAGTTAAAGGAGATTCATCTATAATAGTCCGGAGAGTATCTACGACAATTTAAAGTACAACTTACCACCAAAGCGTGCATGGCGCGTCTTCCTAGGCGTAATTGTTACCCGCTCGTTCTTCCCGTCCATGTACACTCGCCATCTTGGAAAGCTGAAGGCGTGTTTCACGCACACGTGTCATGCCACCTGTAAATCATAAGCAAAATTTGCATTCGATAATCAAGTTTAAGATTAGATTTACGACAAGCCAATAGGCAATCATCACACATACAGGCCTGAAAAATACAATGATTTAATTTTGACTTTCATCTTACAATTTTTTCATCCTCATCTTTCAACTTTATAAAGTTAGGAAAACACACGTTAGTAATTTTCCAATAAATGATCTTTCTTTGACCCATTTATCTTTTGATTGCAATAACAATATTTTCTAGCTAGTAGGTGACAACTTACAAACATTACAGCTATATATATATATATATATATCCGAATATAACCGAAACAATGAAATATCCGAATATAACCGAAACAATGCAATAAAATGGTCATTTGACATTTGAGCATTAATTCGATTAAAAGGAGGACCAATCAAAACAGCGGATTTCATCTTATAACGAGGCTCAAAAATATGCATACATTAAGTCCAGATGCCGCATACGTCATGCGAGGTAGTTACGTAATCCTCCAGGCGAATCATGCATATGTAGATACATGTATATGTATGCATGTTTAAATGTAGGCAGGATTGCGTGTAAATCTTAGCGTTTAAAGTAAAAATAACGCAAACCATTATAGAACTAGTTGTTGCAATATTTTCTATATGATCCTTATTCACGTCTAGGTGTTTTCTGGACGCTTAGAACTGATAAGTCTGATAACAAGAACAAAATCAAGGAAAATATGTTCAGTAACGAAAAATGAAACAAACATCAATAAAAGGCATAAACTTTTCGTTCCAGTTTTTCCACCAAACCCTTTCTAGAAGTGTAATAATTCATACCTGAGGTATCCAGAAGAATCTTTCCGTCCATCCTTCTTTACAAAGTTTACTCCCTCACGTTATTTTCATGCTACAGGCGCCATAATACCAGTTCATCACACGTGTCAATGAGGGCCTCTAGCAGTTCATGGAATTATTGTAGGTACTTACATGCAGGTACTTACATGCAATAATTTCACCCACTGCTAGAAGTCGCTTTTTAAACATGGCGCAGAGGGTCATTAGCCTATGTATCCTTGATGCTGATTGGTTATCATCACGGCAACGTTTTTGAGTCATTGAGCCTGATTGGCTAATACAATTCCTGGTTGGTGAATGGTTAGAAACAACGATGACGTGTCACTTTACGACCAAATATGGGCAACTGACTCCAAACCATAAAGCCGCCTTACGTAAACAACTGAAGTTACGAAGGATTTTCGGAAGAACGGGACTATTGTGGGCAATTATGTTCCCCCAGATAAGCTACAGAGTTGTAAGAACTGCATTTACAGAGAAAAGGAGCCGATTTATGAGGTTAGGAGAGGTGAAAATGCTCGGCAACTACGAACAGGGGAGGGGGGCATTGTGTGGGGATGGCTTTCAGCACCAAGGACAGGGATAGCTTCAGTTTGAACCTGGTCTTTTCTTCATGACAACAAACTGAATATTATCGCACTGACGAAGAATGTACAAAGGAAATCAATTTGTGAATTTTTCGGTGTCATTCTCAATGTCGTATCAATGGAAACAGAGTCTCTGCCAGGCGTATAACTATGGCAATCCCCAAGCTGTTACGATTTTAACTTCCACCATGCATCTGCTTGCTTTCCATTCATATGGTAATGAGCATTGACACGGAAAATTCACTTCTGCAAAGACTGTGGCCACTTCTAAAGTTGTCGTGTCTACACACACACACACACACACACACACACACACACACGAACGCCTCTGAAAACATAACCTTCTTGTCGAAGGTAATTATGTTCCGGTACAGGATCAAACAATGTGGGTTCCTGGGCTAAATTTTATAACAGACAGCATTGTCACAGAAGTTACACAAGACATGGTATATTGCAAGAAATAACTTTATTTGTTTCAATATAGAGGTCAGCCGATCGTCATATTGCGAAACGGCGATAATGGATATAACTTTGTTTCAAGTTTTTGCACATACCCCACGGGTAGTTTTTCCAAACTTCCATCAGTTCCACACATGTATTCAATAATTTAAATTTAAAAATATTTTAAGGTACTAATATGCTTCACGTGCAGCTCCCCGTATTGAGATGTATCACCCCCATGTTGTGCAGTTTTTGGTACTGTCTAAACTCGTGTGGGAAGTTGTGAGCCCAGCCCACTTTTGAGTTGTCAAAGTAATGATGTGTCAGGTTCCTTCCCAGCCTGTCAAAGTGCCACGGCCAAAAACCGTACAGGTGTACTTCCTCGCAAATCCGCAAGGCGGCAGTCATCAAGAACATACCTGCAGGACAAATTCGCAAGAGAGTTCAATGTTACTGCCATGCATTGCCACTGTCTTAATCAAATTTACTTAACGCATCGTATTCAATGCACGTAAGAAAGGTAACATTTGCAAAGCAAATGCATAATGTTTACCTTTGCATATGGTCTGCTCTGTTAATTCGTACACATTAATATATATGGTGACAAGAGTCTAAATCCCTCCTGCTATTGAATTGCAACATGATGTAACCCAACACCAGTTACCATGGTGACAGACGCCTGGTTCTGGTCATTGACCTTTTGTGTTTAAACGGAAGAGGACACTGAGCAAAAACAATAATTATGTTTTCCTTCAGTAAACATAAAAATGTTTTTGGAGATGACCACACTCACCCGTGGACGACCTGAATGACCTGACACCCCTCCGTTTCCAGAAGGTGTTGACGGGCCCGGTGAAGTTCGGGTTGGCGAAGACCATCTGCTGCTTGAGCTTGAACTCCTTCATAACGTCTTGAACCCTGTAGCTCAGGCTGGTCCCGAACTTGTAGGAAAAAGGCGTCATCCAGACGCGAGTGTTGCCGTATTCAGAAAGGTCACGGACGAACCGTTCTTTCATAGTCTTGTTCCTGAAGACTTTGTATCTGTGGACAAACAACATGAAGAAAGCCCATTTTTGCACTTGACCTTGGTCTTCCCAACTGTAACCTGCCTGCCAAAAAATCATGAACATCGAACCATGCCTTCAATAGTTATGCCGCTAAATCCATAGTCTCCAACACTAAGGCAAACCGATTTTATACCGTTCTGACGAAGGCAATTCTTCATACATACCTATTCTGTACCATGCTGGGGTTCATGGTGATGAGGTGCGTCCTCTGTCCGACGTCGGCTTTAAACTGTCCCGCTACAGGCGCCAGGTTACATCTGAGAACGAGCATCGTGTGGAGTGAACGGTTCCAACAATGTCAATTTCATGAATCTTAGGATTGATTATCCTGCTACATGTGAAGAAGAATGATACACTCGATACAGGTGGGTCTAGAAAGAGGTAGTCTCCACCAGACTCCTTTTGCAGGCTGAATAAATCGTGGAAATCGGCCTCAAAAGGGGATAGCTCCATTTGCCTCCAAAAGGAGTCTGGTGGAGACTATAAGAGACCAGAGACAGGAGAATGAATGAATTGATAAACGAGCCTGAGAACTAACAAGTCAGCAGGTCATTCGTATCAGTGTTTACACTAAGAAATTGGTCAAACGATATCTCTGATTGTCAGCAGAGTCAGGCCGTTCAAGGTGGAACAATATTGCCAGTGCCCTCTCAGTATAAACGTCGTGGAGACTAAGACCTCAGACAGACGTCAGGGTGAACCTGAGTACGAACTGTGAGGATATTATTAAAGAAGGCCACACCTGAGTACGAAGTCTGCCGAACAGTGAGGATAAGAAGGCCACACCTGAGTACGAAGTCTGAGGGACAGTGAGGATAAGAAGGCCACACCTGAGTACGAAGTCTGCGGAGTCGATGGCCTTCCCACAGCCGCTGCCGCTGAGGATACCGCTGCTGCCGACCATGCTGCACCGCGCGTAGGTCTTCTTCAGCGGGTTTTCCTGCAAGAAAGGGCAGTAGCGGGGGAGCATGTTCAGTCGCGATAGCTTTTTCAAGCGCTCTGAATGAATGCACGAATATACACAATGCACGAATAAATTACCGAGCCATCAGCCTAGATGACACCACACAATCACACACGTCATCCATAAAAATTACTTAGTGTGGTCTTAGGGAATAATCTGACGCATGTCCAGCCTTTCCTCCTCCCACTGTATTTATAGAACTCTCCCCTCAATGTAAGCAACTGATCCCCAACGAAGCCCATACTTGCACTTGACTTTGATCTTAACAACGGTAACCTGCCTGCCAAAAATCATGGACGTTGAACCATATCTTCAAGAGTTATTCCACTAAATTCGCAGTCACCCACACTAACGCCAAATGATTTCATAGACCTTCTGATGAAGGTAAATCACCTACGTCAGGAAACCTGCGCGCGACGGCTTCTGACACGTAGAGCCGGCTCTTGCCCTCAGCGTCGTACTGGATGGTGGAGTTGACAGGGTGGTTCTTCTTGGTGACGACAGGATCCTCGCCACAGCACTCCTCCAGCTCTTTCCTACAAGATAGGGAGGTACAGAATGCCTGAATTAAGACATCAGAAGCCGACGTAAAAGCCGGTATAGCTAAGACCGGCTTTTACATCTGAATTTTAATGTGTGTGCCCAGTGATGTCGACTGAAAACAGATCCATAGATCTGACATATACTCTGGATATATATAAATAAATAAGCTTGAAGCTTGATGAGCAAAGGACGCCATTGTTTAGCATTTCTGTTTCCCTTGTCATTATAGTCTCTGTCTCTGACACGATGGAAAAGCTCGGAAATAGTACGCAATCAAGAAAAAAGAGAAAGAGAATGATGATATCAAAACGTGGATAGCTATAGGAGACTATACAGTGTGCCAAAGGCGAGAAAATCCCCAAGTGTGCATGCCTAAATATCAATATCGAATTCATTTTTATTGTGAGTTTGTTCTTATCTATCCAAGTCAAAGTTGATAATATTGCGGAAGTTTGTTGATGCTTCGGTGTTATTGTCGGCATCTTTTTTGGTCTCTGTTACCATGTAGATTGCTTGACTTGCTTCAGTGATGGTTCCTTACCTGAAGTTATCGGCGGCAGTTTTGTTGTATACCCAGGGCTGCTTTACTCTTGGAAAATCTTGCATTTGTTTCCACTCTTTGTTTCCCGCCAGTGCCTTCCTTCTGGACGGGTCCACTGTAATCGCTGGGAGGGGTGTGTGTTTTTGTGTGGAATGGTCGATCTTTGCCGAATGGAGGGGTGCGTGTGTCTGGTTTGATCGGGAAGGGTCTATTCTGATGAGGGGGACCTCGGTAGATGTCAGGTTCGAGCTGGAAGAGGTACTAGTATTCTTCGTCGGAAGGGCCGGCTTTGAGGTCTGCTTTTTCCCAGGACTGAAAAAAAAGAAGAAAATTTGATTGTGAAATTTAAACCGTTCTCCAATTGATTAAAAAAAGAATTTGACCCGCTGGAATTTTCGGCCAAATCTCTCGGTCTTTTCGAGATGGAGAATGGTTTAATTTTCAGTATGTCATTTACCAACTTAGATGAATTTTCATGCTATTAATGATAAGAAATTTCATATTAAGTGACTGCACCAGGGTTGTCCCCTTTCTTCTGTTACTTTAGGCTTTGCCGTATGTGAATCTTTCAGTACATCTTTTTCATTCATTCATTCATTCATTCGTTCGTTCGTTCGTTCATTCACTCACTCACTCACTCGCTCACTCACTCACTCACTCACTCACTCACTCATTCCTTCATTCACTCTCACTCACTCACTCATTCACTCTCACTCACTCACTCACTCACTCATTCATTCATTCATTCCCACCTGGCTGTAGACGGTGACACAGAGGGTGACAGTAGGTCGTTCTCGCGCATGCGCACGGCTTGGACTGGAGTATACTGGTTGTCGAAGTTGATGAACGTGCTGAACGTTGCTATGCCAACCAGCGCGTAAACAATCAACACCACGACCGCCAGCCAGTTTCTCTGCTCGGCCATTCTGTGAGCTGGAGAGAAAAGATGGGATATGAAGAAATAATCACAGCGTGTTATGAAGGGACATCACAGCTATCAACTGTTTTTTTCTTTTTATTCCAACATGTAATCACAAGACGTGGTGACGGCACACTCAAGTTTTATCAACTTATTTTATGCCGCCACCAAGGCAGAGACTAAATACGGAACATGACAATACTCATTTTCATTTGAATAGTGAGGAGTGAGAGTTAAGTGCCTTTCCCAATGGCGCAATTGCAAGATCGGTGACATGTCAGGACTCGAACCCGGGACCTCTTGGTTCCTAGTCGAACACTCTACCGCTACGCCACACAACCCCACAACAATATCAACTGTTTGATGTCAGGTTTCAAGCCGTCGTTTTTGGTAGCACCAATCATGGATGTTGGTTGTATCATCATTTCAGTGGCTGGCTATGGTTCGGTAAAAGCGACATCTACCGACTTTGTACAAAACTGCGACCAAGGTAAAATAGTCCTGTGAAATACTAGTACATGCAGAAATGTCCGGCGTTTCACCCGAGGGGCACATACTCATACCTGCATGCCAAAACTTCTCGCCACGTCCACATGCAAACATGATTTGTCTGGGGTATACGACCCCAGAGATTCAATCTCTGAAAATTAGTAAAACCCAAACAGTTTTCAGCGAGCCTCCGGTAGACCAGACAGTGAACAAGGGTGTGTTAGATACAGCTTCTTTTTTGTCCCATTGCAGTTCAGTTTTGTATGACATATCCACACATGTCTGTTGGTTAGGCCACAGCATGTGAATTTTATGGATGACATCCTCCGCAGACTCCAAATCTAATGCGATAGGGCGAAATAAACAAGACGGGCCGAAAAAACAAGGTTCCTACATTTTAAAATCTTGACTCAATCATTGTACAAATGGTTTTAATTCAGTGGGAACATCACATATACACAGCCAGCATCACATATCACTGCATCAAAGTAAGAAACAAAACATTAAATCAAAGCCTTTTCTTGTCTCCTCTCTTTATAGTTACCTGCCATCCACCTTCCGGCATGGCAACAGACATATTTGCCCATTTTCGGCATGGTCACCACTGTCAGAAGGCAACAAAATTTCTTGTGTTTTTTTTTCTCCAAAATCAGGCGAAAATTAATGCGCGCGCTGATGTCATCCATAAACATTACTTGCTGTGGCCTTATGTCCAAGTTTGGTGCCGTAAACATATTTTGTCACCTGATACTTTTCCCGGTGATTTCCGTGGTGCTGATCCGTGATGTTATTGCCCGGGATGGATTAGCGTCGCCGGGAACACAAATACCCAGACTTCACGCACGTTAACGGTCAGCTATTTTAGGAGAAGCCCGAGGAGGTGCGAAATATCCAGGCGGCTTTCTCTTCGGAAATACCAACCGGTTGTGATGTGCAGTCCAAAAATAAACGTTCTTGCATAACTACAATTTTCACCACCACAATACCAGGCAGACATCTAAACTGTACTTACCTTTCTTCAAAACCACTGCAGGGCAACACTCAATCTCATTCCGTGGGGTACACTGTTATAACTCACTTCCACAAAATATCATGCAACAGACTTCATTGAAAGGTTTTAAAGCTGCTCTTAAGAACATACAATCTTTACAGTTTGACATATGACCTCTGACCTCCACATGAATAACCGACCTTGACCGATCAATGACTTTTGAGTAACGGACAACGATTTTGATTTGTTCTCTACGGTTTTGTTTGAGATTCTAAGTAATCGCATGTATTTTTGTATAATTTGTTACCTGAATTATTTATGTTTTACATACAATTCTCCGTTACTTCTGTTTCAGTATTAACTTATGTTTTATTATTTCTGTAAACTGGGCCCCGCTGAAAATCAACTTGTCAAAGCTGAGTTGGGCTACCCAGGTGTGTGAAAATGAAATGAATTAAAAAAAAAACGCGTGGATGGAAACACTAAGAACCTGAACGTTTGTTAATCTGGTAAAGAATAAAACAACAACCAGTTTTACAATTTCATTTGTAACGGGATAGAGTCCCCTTTCGTTGTAGGATAATCAAATGGAATGTTACCGATGCTTAGTTACTAAGTAACAAGCTCGGTTGACTAATTCCAATCATGAAAAGCTCCACCTGAGCAGCTATGTTAGGTCTTTGGTGACACCTTCTTGCATGTCTACAGTTACTCACGTTTATTTTCGTTATTTTAAACTCAGTTACGCGGTGCATCAGAGCTTTACTATAATACCGCTGCAAACAATGTTTGAAACATGTACTCTCCAAGCAGAGGTTTGGGTTTTGGGGGTATTTTTAGCGCGTTTTTAGGCTTTTTTTATCGGGGTTTCTCTTTTGCACTGATTTTTTTCCCCACCAAACCCTGGTGGGATACCCCCAAAACCCAAACCTCTGCTTGGAGAGTACTCCTGATGTGCCATGCGAAAAACACATATCATATCTTCCGAAACTGATATGCCTGAAGTCACCACCGTCACCGCGGATTATATGCCAACAAATGTGCAGAATATTACACAACACACGTGTACCCACCGAATAATGTATTTCCTGATTTTTTTCAATGTACTGTTATGTTTACTGTTTTCACTGTCACTTCTGTACCGTGAACTTATCATTACAGTTGACAAATAATTCCTGGACTTTCTTTTTCCTGCACCCGTTGCCACCGTGAATATATAGTTCCGTGAACATGTCTCTCAGACCGTGAACATTAAGTGAATTAAAGTATCAGCCTGCTTCCCTGTGGAAGAATCACGCACTAAAAGATCCAGGGAATGAGACTGGACTGGTATTACAGTCTAACACGCTTGTATTATGCCCGTATAAAGTGGTTCATGTGGCCTTTACTTTCCGTAAAGCCGTATCAGCCGTTTTCACCTAGCGTAACTTGAGTCGTAATCGGACCGCTCTTATTTATTGTGTTGCACGACGGGTCCGTGTTTGAATGTGTTAGAGATTTTTCAACTGGTTTCTCTGATTGTAGGGTAATAAGTTAATCCATAAAAGCTAGCCCCGGGGATTTAACCTGCTTTCTCCCTGTGCCTTATGCATGAGACCCTAAGGGCTATAACCTCTTCGTAGGTGTCAAAGGTTGTGTTTACTAGATTGTAAAAAAGCTTAGATCATATACCAAGAACAAAACAACATTTACCCCGTGGTTCTCTGACAAAAGCCCGGGTTAAACCCGATGCGGGTGCCGGATAGCGGAGTAAACGGACCCGCTTCCTGCCATGACAGGTGTACGTTTGCGTTAGGCACAGATGACGGGAAAGTCGCTACTCCTCACCGCACCGCACGTAAACTAACGCCGTGTGACAGGCTTCCAGAGAGGCCTGAGAAGTCAAATTTACTCTACACGAAATAAAATCAAACAACTGGGTAAGGTCTCTGACATAGTAAGACGTTACACAGCAGTATCCGGTACCGGAGTCTAGTCAATGATTGGGAATGAGTACTCGTATCCGAAGACGACTGAGATGGCAAATTTAGGACAGTGACTTTTGCAGCAGTCACTCAGGGATGTGTAGTGCAAAACTCAGCTATCCTCTGACGGATCAGCTGAAAAAGGTCTTCGTAGATCATTATCGACGGTCGATTGGTCATAACCGCGCTGACAATCCACCAAGTGACCTTCTGCGGAATTCTTAATCATTTCCAGACCAAAAATGTCCTGGTACTAAATTGGCGCATTCAATAGCATGGCTGAAACCACCCAGTTTTTTCTCCGTCAGGATACAGAACAAGCTTGGGTAATATCAATATCCTAACGTTGACTGGAACCAACAGTTAACAGGTGTCTCAATCAGAAAGTGGAGAAAAGGTTTGGATACGTTTTATCACAACCGTTCCAAGCGACTGACTGCACTAAGGAAGTGTACTTGCATCACATGGTGCGTTCCCCCTGTCCATGCTAATCTATCTATAGGTGTACATGTACTCACCCTAGGGTATCACCTATTGTTGGGGTGTATCTCGGAATGTACAGTACGTGCTTCAAGTACCGACAGGAGAAATGGCTGAAAAGTCTGGCGACGAAAGCCAGGCGGAACACTTCAGGCACACTGAACCACGTTCAGTCTATCTCAGCCGGTGAGCAGCAATTGGTCTCGGCGATGGATCAATTATCGATGAGTCCTGCTGGCATGACCTCCGTTACCAGGCGACCTCCGCAGACCGCAGGCGATTTTTGGTCACGAAAACACCTTTCACTATCCATCAAATGCCGTGTGATCACGTGAGACGTGACGTAGCGCCCCTCCCTGTACCGTTTCTGTTGCTGATCTAATTACCACGGCTGAGTGCCGCGTCACGCCTATGTGCCATACCTGTAGTACGGTTTTATTATTAGGTTCTGTGTGTGGGTGGGGTGGACCTGGCAATGCTTAATTAAATTCATGATGGCCCTGCAACATAAGAGAGTCGATGGCAACGGTTAACAGTAAATTTAAGAAGGCTAGGGTTAGGGTTAGAGATGCAAAGAGGGCAAAGAGCTTACATAACAGTAAATTGACGACACATTCTTGCTTTACTACGAGTGTCGGGCTCCATTGGTAAATCTCGTCTGATACAATCCAAAACCGAGCCTTTCAATTCTTGAGCAATCTGGCGTTCGACTGCGATGTACGAAACATTAATATTTGTCAATAATGCTTAACGATGAATTCTGGATGTAAAGCAAATAAAACGTGGTACGTGAAAGCGATTGTGCTTAACGAAGAATTTGCTAACAACGCTTAACGTTGAATTCTAGCGGGTCATTAAGAGGTCAAACAGCTCGCTACGCCTGAAGGACTTGAAAGACGGGAAGAATTTGCCAACAATCCTTAACGCCGGTAAATTGACGAGCACATCCATTGCATGCAACACTACGTGTCAGCTCCATTGGTAAAACTAGTCTGATACAATCCAAAACCGAGCCTTTCAATTCTGGAGCAATCTGGCGCTCGACTGCGATGTACGAAACATTAATATTTGTCAATAATGCTTAACAATGAATTCTGGATAAAGAAAATAAAACGTGGTACACGTGAAAGCGATTGCGCTTAACGAAGAATTTGCTAACAACGCTTAACGTTGAATTCTTGCGGGTCACTAAGAGGTAAAATAGCTCGCAACGCCTGGCAGACTTAAAAGACGGGAAGAATTTGCCAACATCCATTGCATGCAACACTACGTGTCGACTCCATTGGTAAAACCAGTCTGATACTTAAAAAACCCATCCTCCCATGGCAGGGTAAGCGGCTCCGAGTTCCTTCTCCATCCCTACAGGAACTCGGAGCCGCTGACCCTGCCATGGGAGGATGCTTAAAACCGAACCTTTCAATTCTTGGGCAATCTGGCGTTTGGCTGTGATGTACGAAACATTAATATTTGTCAATAATGCTTAACGATGAATTCTGGATAAAACAAATAAAACGTGGTGCGTAAAAAGCGCTTATGCTTAACGAAGAATTTGCTAACAACACTGAACGTTGAATTCTTGCGCTTCATTAAGAGTTAAAATAGCTCGCTACGCCCGACGGACTTGAAAGACGTGCACGCCCTCATTTTAAGATGTGTCGTGTCAGCCAGGTATGCATTGGTTAAGGACAGGGTTAGGGATGAACAAACAGTAGGGAAGGAAATGAGCCTGAAGGGACAATGGAGTAGGAAATATGGTGCTTTATCGTGCAAAGCAACCAAACAAACTATTATTCTACATAGCAAAAAGGGGTGAGGCGTCACAATTGCATGATGACCAGAAGACGATTTTTCATCCCAACATCTCCTTGGAGATTAGAAAACCGCAGCCACTAGCTCCCGATCGCCACTGATGTTGTGTTTTTCTCACAAAGTGTAGGACTGGTTTGGTACGTGCTTTTCCATTCAGGTAAATTCAGACATAAGACTCTAAGATCCAACATCTCTCTAGAGATAACGATTTCGTCATCTCAATATGACTGTAACTTGAGATACTGTGACACCTTCCATAATGTACATAGTCGGGATATGCTGAGTTTGTCTTCTCATCTGTCCTTGACACTAGCCGGGTCAACCTTTGTACTAGTCTCTCTGAAAATTTAATAAGGATCTACGACAACGTTTCCATCACAACTGATTCGATTTTTTTTCGAGCGTTGCGGAGCCAAAATCCGAAAGGTACACAGGCTACGAATATGCCGCACGGGTCCTTAGACTCCTTACAGGTACTCGTATGTGGTGATGTCAGTGTTGACTGAATGCATATGCATGTTGCGTGGGGAAATTAGTCTACGCCCAAGGTACCAAACAGAAATGGCTGTGTAATTTCCGGCCTCTTTTGTTTGTAGGATGCAAGTCGTTGTCACGCATGTCGTACGCTAGGTTTACGACAGTATATTAAAGCAAGGACATTATTTTTATTATACACTCTGTGTATAATGTCATTGATTAAAGGCATTCTTGGGACAGTCATGACTCACAGATAGTATCCACCGGGTGATCTCCAAGCAGATCCCTATCGGTGTCAAAAAGACAGTATCAAATTTGCCAGAGAGGGTCGCCGGCCACCGACGGGTGGTGGGATTAGCGACACAAAAAAAACCCGGCCATATATAAAAAGCTAACGATCATTCCCCCACAACCTCTGCTTGGAGAGTATTCACCGGGGTCTTCCGTCAGATTTATACGACTCCACCATCGCCGGTGTAGATTAAAAGCCATATCCCATTACAGTTTAAGCTGCCGTCAGTACCTGTTTTGGCTTTCGGGTACGAAGTGTATAGTCAACAGTACTAACGGTTGTTAACACACAATTTGTCGCTAAGTTCGCACGTGTTGAGACTTAATCTTGTTTCTTGCGTCTTTCTACGAGAATACGGATCGTAGAATTCGATCGGCAAAAAAAGAGAGTAAAATTGGCCAAGGGAGTCCGGCTGCGGGGAGGTAGTTTCTTTCCCTCAAACCACAAGGCGGCCAAACTCCCCTCATATTCTCCTATATATAGCCAGCGTAGTTAGTCTGGTAGATATTAAGTGTTGTGTGTGCATGTATGTGTACATGAGACCGTTCACCAGTACTAAAAAGAAAAAGGAAACGGCTACTCACCTGAAATCGTCACCTAACGCGTCCTTAATGCCTCGGTTGGGTCTGGTTTATTGGTCTGGTGTGAAGGTGTGATGACTGCGGATGACCCTTTCAATAGTCACGAAGGCCTGCGGGTACTGAGGTAAATACGGGCTGGTAAAAGACGTCCGACGTTACACGAGTACTTACACCAGGCAGGTATCATAATTATCAAACAAAATCCCAATATATTCTTCTGTAGGGAATAGAACCGAACCGCCTCAGTATTTCGGTGAAACGGGCAAAATGTGTTAGTGACCTTAAACTGTTTTAGTGTCGCTCAGTGCTTCATTTATTCCGTGTCAATGGAGTTTCGTTTCCACTAGACTGATCTGCGGGCTGCCAAAACAGTAGGAATTGTCAAATTAGGAAGAATTTGCCATCAACTCCTACTGGTGGCAAATCATTATCTCTAGCCTGCCAATTTCTGCTAATTTTGCAGCTTGTCAATTCATAACAGAGTCTGACGGAACTAGCAAGGGTTAGATGTCCCCGAGGCTATTGTGACTTCGTGTAATTTGTTCCCCATGTCCTATTTAACGTCCTCCGGTACCAGTCTTGCAGAACTCTGTGCGATTTTTACCTCCATGAAAAATGGAGGTATTGTCTTTATTTGGCGTGTCCGTGTCTGTGTGTCCGCACATTTGTAGTCAGCTAAACTTCAGAACGCCTTGATGGATTGTAATGATATTTGGTATGTTGGTAGACAAATGTCAAGGTCAAATATAGGTCTACTGGTGGCTGACCTTGGTACTGCAGCAGAACCTCCAATTTTGTATTTTTGTCCAGAACATGCTATGGACTTTTGGTGACAGATAGCTTTTTCTCCTCGCATCTCACCCATGCCTTGACTTTAATACAGGAGGAAAAACACATCAATTATTCAAATCTAATTTTCAGCATGTCCTTGGCGAGGGCTCATCTTAAGTACTTTGCCCTGTCAGAGATCCACACCAGATAGACAGCATGATATTCAACACACAAAAGAGCAGCTTTGTGTCTGATGCAATTAATGTCAAAAAGAAACTTAATACCTGGTTCCTGTCACGTTATAGGGATATACACAGAGATGGCACTACACTAGATGTCAACGTATGTACCAAGGGTTGATAACAATAGGAGTGAAACTTAGAGGTAGAATTTCGCAAGTGACGTTCTGCCAAAGGATTGAACCATCACACATACAATGTACTAAAATGTAGTATGCAGTTTGGACCATCATTTAAAATGTATTATGCTAATTACAATCTTATTTGCATTAATAATGAGACAATATAAAAGAATTATTTCGAGGTATGAGATCCCTGATCGCCTTTGTGTCATGGCTTTAAAGAAGACAACACCTGATGCAACAGATATATCTATTTTATTTTTATGCAACACAACTCATATCTGCAGCAGTTTGATTGTAGTATTTGCTAACTGATATACATATAAATATATTCAAGATTGTTGTGATGCTCTTAATCATTGATATATCTTCTTATGATTCCATTGGAAGTGATATATACACGTAAGTCATTCATACTAGTATCTTAAATGTACCAGCTGTATATGGCTTTGGAGACGGGGTTCTTGGAACATAACATGCACCAGCCTAGATTTTAGGTGAGTTTCAATGTAAAAGGCTGGGACCTAGGGAACTTGAGTTCTGCCTGCTAATGTTCTATGCACAAGGCTGGTTTCTAGAGTAATATTTCTCTTGTCTGAGCTTTGTGAATATCCCACATACAAGCCTGGGTCCTGCAGATATCCCACACACAACCCTGGATTTTCCAGGTATCCTCTGTACATATATCTGAGTTCTTCTCAGCCTAGGTTTGGGGGATATCTCATGTACAAGCCTGGGTTTTGTGGATGTCCCATGTACTAATTTGCCTGGGTCCTGGAGATTTGATTTGATTTATTGAAATTGCAACAGTGCAATACACGCGGAACAGAGGCAGCTGTTGCTGGTGTTGTGTCCTGCACATAGAAACAAATACTAGACAGACAATACTCATTTTCACTTGAGTCTAGTGGGGAAAGTTGAGTTAAGAGCCTTTCCCAAGGGCACACAATCGGTGGCATGTCTCTTGATTCCGAGTCGCGCATGCTGCCGTTGCGCCACACGATCCCAAAAATTGTAAAAGCCTGGGTTGTGTGAATGTCCCATGTGCAAGCCTGGGTTGTGTGACTGTCCCATGGACAAGCCTGGGTTGTATGGAGAACCTACGGTACAGACACCAGCTCAGTATGACATCACAAGCTTTCCAGCACGTGGTTCTCCTCAGTACAGCTGCAGCCGCACCCCGTGGGGCAGATGTCGTAGTTCTGGAACCACTCCTGCATGTGACGGGAGTGGCCGCCGTGTCCGCAAGCCAGGCAGAAGTTTGACGACCCTACATGGTACGGCAGAGAGAGGAGGATATCTCCACTTAGGCCACGTCAATTTAATTTGTTGTTTCTCGGCTTTGCCTCGTCATTTTTTTCTGATTTGCAAAAAAAAATTCTGGTTCTGAATCAACTCAAATATGCTCATATTTTGCCCCAAACATGTACAGTTGAGGAAAGTCCTTTTCTTCCTAGTTGTTAGTTTTTCCATCTACCAATGCAGTGGTTTGATTAAAACTTCAAAATTCATTGTTTAGACATTAACCCAGTCTTTTGTGTTGATTTTATCGCTCCTATCGTAGCATTTGGGACTAGACTTGTTTCTATTTTTACTTTTTTTTCCCTGTCACTTCATATGTTTTCCAAAAAAATCTGAGAATGAACAAATTAAATTGGTGTGGCCTTACATGGCAGAGAGAACGGTTCTAATACTTTGGAGGGCCATTACAATGTTAGAGAATGTAATCATGTATAAGTTTGTACACATTTCATGAGGTTCTCTTTTTGCAAGTTTCATTTGTCAATGGAAAGAAGTTGTAAGTGAGAGACATACCTTTAACAGCTATGTGGCATATTGCACATTGGAAGCCATAACCACGGCAGGAGGCACACTGTGGACCTCGGACGTCCTTGTAGCAGTGAACACACTTTGTTCCAAACTCTGCAGAAGGAAGACATTTTCATTCTGAGACATGGCAATACTTTTCTTGTGTTAATCAAACTATTCTTGTCTCAATCAAAGCTGTAGACTCACCAACAGGCCCTGTGAGTAACGTTAATTAGAGAAGTTTATTGCAAATTCACACCCAGAGGCTAATTGCAAGTTACAAACATAAAAGAACATTGAAACAGAGTATAAATAACTAAAATCTACATGATGGAAGGTAGTTGTCTAAAGCTATAGCTATGTCTAAAACTATGTGATTGTCTGAGGGGTTTGACTTCTCTTTTTTAAACCGTGGAAGACGTAATGTACCACCTTTTCCAAAATTAGTGGGTTTTGGGAAGTTAATGGTAAACCATGCCACACAGGGATATCAAACTTGGAGATTTGAGGGCGAATCTGAAAAAGGGTAAGTAGTGTAACAGTGGGGTTTGAGTGCTGCTAATTAACTGTCCCCATCCAATGGGTCCTGGAATTTTGGCCTAATGGTTAACACGCTGGGGTCTTAATCTGGCTGCCTGGGTTTGGTGCGGGTTCAATTCCCAGCAACCCAGGGGTTTTCCTGTTTCTACTCGCTCCTAGTGTTTCAACTTAGCACACTAGCTCTAGCCTTTTCTTAAACTCACCGATCCCTTTGTGTGCTTCAGGTGGTACTGACACATACTTCAGCACGTCAGCTCTCTTGTCCTTCAGACCCCACCGATACAGGATCTCTCCATACGCCTTCTTAAACTCATCATACAGCAGGGTGCAGCCAGGGTCCAGTAACCTGGGGTGGGGTTGGATTAGGAAAGTACACAGTAAAACAAAATCTGTTTGTGAAGGTAAGGTTCTTCTAACACAGCTGAACTTTTCTTGTTTCACCAACTAGTCAGCTGCCTCCATCAGAGTGTAATGCTACATCCTGCTGCCAGGTGGCATTGCAGTCCCAAATGTAGATACATGTAATAATGGCAGCTTATTTATAGGTGCTGAGACAATTGTTTTGTTAAGATACATGTATCCTACCTATTTCAAAGGACTTTCCAACCTGATGAAGCAACCATGAGAGATGATTTGACCTGTCAAATATTTTTATTATATTCAAAGCTAAATCTGTGGTGTCATGTGGCATAACAGTAGAGTGTTTGGCTCAGACCCAAGAGGTCCCGGGTTCGAATCCTGTCTGATGCCGCCTACAGTATCTTGTGTCCTTGGGAAATTAAGGCACTATACACAACTTTCCTCACTTCACTTAGGTGTAAATGAGTACCTAGCTTCGGTTAGTGATGTCCCTCGGATAGGACGTTAAATAGAGGTCTCGTGTCTGGGAGAGCCACACCCCACGCACGTTAAAGAACCCATCACACTTATCAAAAAGAGTAGGGGACCTTCCCGGAGTGAAGGGTTCAAACCTTATAGTCTGGTCTCAGGTTTTTACATCTTTGAAGAGGTGATAGTCAATTGTTATGTCTGACTCAATCCTTCTAATAATGTGGTAAATCTTCATAAGTAAATAAATAAAAGACTGGTGTAGGATTTGACATACTGTTTCTCGTTGTCATGTAGTTCCCTCTCCCTCTGCTGCGGGTCCACGTACTCTCGGTACTGGTAGTCGTCAGGCGAGGAAGTTTCTGTCCAGCTGATACTCCGCCGCATGCCCCCTGATTCACGGTTTCCTGCAGTCAGGGATAAACAGCATTTCTAGCACTCGTATGGCTTTCTATCCACCAATTCTCCTGATTACTTTTTGTATATGCTTCAGTCTCAGGGTTTTTTCTAGCAAAAATTAGTGTGAGGGAGCAGATCACTAGCATGGCGAGGGAGCAAAGTGACCGAGTGGGGGGTTGACGCAGGATTTTGGCATTTTTACAAGAGTAACACAGTTTGTAATGCTAGAATGTAATGTTATGACATTTTGTTTTTGTTTTTTTTTACTGGAAAAAGGTAATTTTGAGATCTTAATGTTGTGTATGTAGTCACTTAGGGTTCATTCTGAAAATTGATATGGGGGTGCTAACTGGTTACATGAAGGAGCGGTGCCCTTATTCCCCGGTTTAGAAAAAACCCTGAGTCTAATGTGACAGTCTAAATGCACAATCTACTTTTGACTTAGTGAATAAAGAAGAATCTGATACAAATCATTTGACTATTCATGATGTACAATATCTGTCTTCTGCTTTGGACGTTTTCTCCATGGATCCATGAAACCAGCAGCAAGGCATAGATACTGGGAAGTCAAACACGTGTACATCTATCTTATCTACTCATAAAATCATCATATTTAATTGACAGGCAAGCAGAAGTCTTGGGCTCACCTATAGTCCAGCCACCTGTGACAAAAGCGTCTGTTTCATAAGTTCCTGGTGAGCCGTACACATTTCCAGAAGACTGGGTAGAAAGCATTACATACAGTTAACATAGTGTTACCAAAGCTGTTAATATGTTATAGGCCAGAGCTCAAAGTACTTTTTTCTGTTACCAACAATGTTATTCTCAGAGATGTCAGAAAATTTGTGGTACAGAATATTTTTCAGGTATATTGGAGTACGTATTTCAAGCCCTATGCATGAAACTTCCTAGAACAGCTTACAAGACATGACATAATCAATGTCTGAAATTAACTCTACACAGGAGGACAGCTTTGATTTCATTGACATAGGAGGCAATCACTGGCTATATATCAAATGACGACATATACTACAGGTTCTATGTGTGATTCGATGCCACATGTTGTAGATTATCTAAACGTTTAACTACAACTGAATCAGTTGTGCCTTAAGTTTTGAGAAAATTTAATTCCCCTATGCATGTTTAACATTCTTTACTTCTACAATATATAAGTTAGTGAAGAAAGATGCCCAAAATTGTAAAACTGCTGTTAAATTGCTTCCACAATATACTACAAGATTATGAGGGCACTGTCACATTCATTAGCACATTGTCATTGGATATTTACATGCACAGTAACTTTTCTGTCACAACATAGTTGAAATTTGTAAAATGTGTACATGGCTGTTCAAAGAATGCTCTCAATCTGCTGTCCTACATATAATACTTATCATACAATGAATGTGATAGAGCCCTAGAACTGTAAAAAAGACTGGAATTATTCCAGAAACCAAGGAACGTCTTGATTGTGGCTACATTGATAGATGAGTGTCTAAAAGGTAACGACACCCCACCTTTCTGCTAGTCATTGAGGGCCCGGATCGGAACTACACACGGCAAAGAGAATAAAACATGCAAAAAGTCCACACACAGGCATTAAACCAACGCAAAGTAAAGTAAAGAAAAGAGCTAGGTAGACTTTCTTGAATACTGTTGTCTCACAAATATCCCTGTATTGTACAGAAACAATTATCAATGCATTGAAGAAAAATAAAAAATGCAAAAGGTTGAACCGTTTTCTACCACTGTGTGTCCTCGTACACAAAGTTATAAATTCAGCTTTGCAAGTATCAATAGGACTACAATTAGTAACGGCAATCACATTAAAATCAATATTACATACATCTAATTTATACATAATATTAGATGTATTTGAAGTCTGTCTAGGTCATCAAGAATTGTCGTCTTTGGATTTCGACAACTTAGTACTACCACTAAACTTACATTGTAGTCTAGTAATGCTAATACTTTCTAAAAGTAAATCATCTGCTTATACCCTGTTTAAAGATTTATTTCGAAGATTGTGGTAGCTTAAAAAATTCTTATACATGAACTATTTTGGCAATGCTTTAATTGGAAAATGAACTGTCATACTTCAATGTAAAGACATATAATTATTATTTTTTTCTGCATGATGAATAATCATAATCATAAAAAGGAGCCAAACTCACGGAGTTGGACTGGAAACTGGAGTTGGAGCTGGACTTAAGGAGTCCTCGACCCTCAGGGTGCACTGTGGGAGCTCCATACGCACAACACAGCATGGCCAGGGTCTGCACATCACACAGCTTACTGTAGTGCTCCAGCCTGGGAGAGGGTACAGAGTCTTAGTTTAGCTGCACATCACACAGCTTACTGTAGTGCTCCAGACTGGGAGAGGGTACAGAGTCTTAGTTTAGCTGCACATCACACAGCTTACTGTAGTGCTCCAGCCTGGGAGAGGGTACAGAGTCTTAGTTTAGCTGCACATCACACAGCTTACTGTAGTGCTCCAGACTGGGAGAGAGTACAGAGTATCAGTTTAGCTGCACATCACACAGCTTACTGTAGTGCTCCAGCCTGGGAGAGGGTACAGAGTATCAGTTTAGCTGCACATCACACAGCTTACTGTTACAGTAGTGCTCCAGTCTGGGAGAGGGTACAGAGTATTAATTCAGGAACAGGTTCAGGTCCGGACCTGTACCCATGTACCTGTACCTGTCCCTAAAATTTGTTTAGGTACACAGCTCTAGCTGCACATGACATGCAACTTACTGTAGTGCTACAACCCAGGTACATGTATACATGGGGTATTTAAAATGAAGATTTACGTATGTGAGAATGAAATTTAACACTTACAGCGTCTGTAGTAATCTCCTCCCAAACGGGTGCTGTGCCCAGGGGCACTCCACATCAGGACTGGAGCTGGGGGCCAGGTCTGCACTCAGAGCTAGAACTGCCAGCGACCAAACCTGTACAACACAACAGGAGACAACTCTGAGCATGTGGACCATAATTATAATAGAGAGTGACATGTGTATACAGGGCTCGAAATACTGGGCGCATGTGCACCTTAGTGCACCCAAATTTGGAGCTGTGCACCCTATCTTTTTGTGGGTGCACCAGTGCACCCAAATATTTCTGTAGGACTATGCATTGTAAAGATGTTCAATGATTCAATGTATAATAGTATACAGCATATTGTTAAGTTAATAACACTTCTCAGAAAAGTAGTACAAAAATATGAATTAGGTTTTGCTGACATTCTATTTACTTTATTTTATTATGGTGCACCCAAGAAATTTTTTGTGCACCCGATTTTTTAGGTTGGGTGCACTAGTGCACCTATTCCCAAAAATGAATTTCAAGCCCTGGTACATGTAGCTTCAAGTCCAGTTGTGGCCCGATGTAGGGGACTAGGATTTGTCATCTGTTACCATGGCTCACCTGCACAAGGTCCTTCCTGCCAACCTGATTGGCTGCCGCTGCGTTCCTAGTGCACATGCTCGGGATGTTGTTAGGGTCCAGGCTACAACAGAACAAGACAGGTATTTTATTACCTTGACAGGCAACGGTGCTCTCATGAACAGCAGATAAGTATAGTAGTCCTTAACATGGGTCTTCATAATGAGAACATCTAATGGAAAACGTAATTGTTTTTGCTCAGTTTCTTCTTCCATTCCAAATACTGCCCTGTGACCTGGTCAATGACCTGAGCCAGACTGTCACCATGGTAACTGGTGTTGGGTTACATAATGTTGCAATTTTATAGCAGGAGGGACTTAGACTCGCAACCATATGTGAAGGTAAACATTATGCATTACCTTTCTAGTTTATATGTAAATCCCCTAAAAAACTAAAACAAGTCACAGCCATAAAATCATCTTTGCATCTATCTTAGCTACATCAGTAGCTAACAAACAAACAAACAAACAAACAAACAAACAAACAAACAAACAAACAAACAAACAAACCCACATGTATGTCTCAGCCAGTTTCTGGTGTATGGGCAGCAGACAGCTGACGTCCTGTATGAGGACCGGCCCGGCGTGCGGAACTTTACTGCTGACGTTCAGGTCCCTCTCACGGTTCTTCCCACTGCGGCGTGACTTCTGTCAGATACAAACATGACAGGTACAGGGTGTCAGAAGTGTTAGAGTCTTTCTCTGGATCTATCAATGCAATAAGTATTTAATCAAAAGCTACTAATGTAGATCAAACTATAAACGTTGATCTGACTGGCATAAGGACATTTCAGTTGGAACAATTTCAAGGATTTTTTCTTTCTATAGCACAGTAATGATCTATTCTTCCTGAAAGAGTATTCTCTCTTTTGCTGAATGATGATACAACTAAGGCAGGAAATGCTTTCCTTGAAAAAAATTAAGAGAAAACAGCTACTGGTACTTGGTTACACTGGTCTAAGCATTAATTTTAATCTTAAAAGTCTCACCAATAGTGAAAGGTAAAATCGAATCTGACCATATCCCCTCCTGAGTACTAGTAACAGTCTGTATTAACTTTCCTTCAGAATCTTAACACGTTACTTTTCCTGTCTAGTAGCAATCAAAGCACCAACCAACCAACCAAACTGGTGTGGCCTGAGCAGCATGCCGGCAGAACGTACCCCCCCCCTTTTTTCACGGTTTTCATTGGATTTTTGGTCAATGTTTCATTAGAATTTCGCCTATTGCAGACGATATTCTTTCCGACATAACATTTGGAAACTACAGATGGAGTGTTAACCTTATATTTGCGATTAGGACCTTACATGAGACGTTTTGCCAAAGTGCTATGCACAATACATTACAGGTTTTGCGCAGGTGCAGTTACAAGTTCTGCTGATGTGCTGGCCTGAGCTACCTTTTCCTTGAAGTAGAAGTTGGAGAGTGGGGCGACCGGCACGCTCTCCCCGGAGTAGATGCGTGAGATGGAAGACTGAGAACTGGACTTCATCATGTTCATGGGATGGAGACCCATGTAGGCAGACAGGGCAGACAGGGACCTGGGGACATGGACAGAACAGGTTTTACACTATATCCAACTCAACCAACTGATGTACACTGTAGTGTATAGTCCATATCTCATACCATTTATACTATAATAATATTAGTTTCTTAAAATAGCCTAGTGTCTAGTCTGTATACGTATTTATGTAGAACTCCTATATATTATCATGTAAGCAAATGCTCCATGTATATCATATCACCTTTATGAAGTAGTATAGTACTAGTGTTACCCCCGAAAATAGTTTCATCAGGTTAGTAAAGTAAAGGATACAAGAGTTTTCTTGACAAAGTTGTTACAGAAAACTCTTGTATCCCAGTATAGTGTTAGTTTCTATATATAGAACACATAAGCATTACTGTAGACATTAGAATAGATTTCAGCTAGATATGCAGTAACTCTGAAAAGCGTGCCATACACGTACCTGTTACAATTGCAACCTGTTGTGCGATTTAAGTTGGACTTTGTATTGTTCATAATCAATGACAAACTACTTGTAGCATATGCAGGTCAGCAAGCAGATTTTTCTAGGTTTGATCAGGAAACAGGAAACACAACATTTTACTTTCCTAGGCTTAACCTGACCTTGGAGTCTGTTCGGTGGTGATTGACGACTGTCGGATGGTGCTCGGGCGCGTGAAGTACACCAGTTTGTCTGGGAAACGCAAATCAGAAGATTTATGTGGACCATCAGCATCAATGGTACTGGTTGTTTCCGGTTTAGAAAGATGACTATTAATTATATCTTGAAAGTTCATCTGTGTTGGTAGAAGTCATTATGAAACAACAGAGACCTGGGGTGCCACAGACTTTCTGCAACCTATGATCCACTGCTCACGGAGTCACGTGTGTTATCTGCGTGACGTCACGGAAGCGGTGGATTGCTCATCCCTTGAAAAAAGACTGGAGTTGTACAGTCGAAAATTTGGGTGAGTCCAATTTTTTGATTGGGCAATTGCAGTTCGAACTTGTTTCATAATGACTACCAATTGTGTTGCTGAATTTTGACATCTCAAAAACCATAACACACTGGTAACAATGATAAAGGCACAAGGAACAAATTTTGGTTACAACAATACAGGGCTACCGCTGTGTTTATTTAGAAATAGTAATAATACTGCACTACATACATGTAGGTCTATAAGGCCACACCAATTTAATTTGTTGTTTCTCAGATTTTTTCAGAAAAAATGTGAAGTGACAGGGCAAAAAAAAAAAACAGACAGAAGCACCCCATGATAGCCAGAAATGTTAAGATTTGAGCCATGAAGTCAACATACCAGGCTGATTTATAAGCAAAACAATAGACTTTTAATGAAATGAAGTTGTATTGTTACATTAGGAAGAAAAGGACTTTCTTCAACCATTGGGGCCAAAATATGTCTTTCATTAAGCATTTTGCAGTTGATTCAGAACCTAAAATCATTTTATTTTGCAAATCAGAAAAAAGTGGTCAGAAAAAAGTGGCCAGGGCGAATCCGAGAAACAACAAATTACATTGGTGTGGCCTGAGCAGGAAAAGAAATAAGACAAAGGAAACAGGGGTGTATCTTGGTGGCCAAAATAACACATTGTTGTACTAATGTCCTAAGCTACTGAGTGCTGAAAGCAGAAATAAGACAGAGAAGGATAGATACATGGCTCAGCAGTGCTGGAGGATTGCCTAGGCCTGAGGGTGATGGGGCGGGTGAAGTAAATCAACTTGTCTGGAAAAGAACACAGGTAAGCAGGACTGTTCCATTGGAGCAGTGCAGGGAACAGCAAAAGTCTTGTTTTTTTTTAAGGAGAGGTAAGGATAATCATGTTGTAAGGAAAAGGTAGGAGTGTCACAGACTGAAAAGTTTAAATAAAGTCTTCAACTACACTCTAAGTGATCTGAGGGCTTTTCCTGGCTCTCCCCTCATCTTATAATGGAACAGCCTTAAACAAAGCAAAGCCCTGTTTAACAGAACAATTTTGACCTCTATATCTAGCAAACTTCTATTCATTGTAATTCCATTAATGTGCAAGTGTTCTTCAGGTTAAAGACAGGAGGCCCAAAATAAACCACTACCGGTAACTTTCCTGCCTTCCCTACATATCTTTTCCATCAATTCCTGATGCAAAATCTTGTGATATGATAAAAAAAAGTACACATAAAGAAAAAAACAAGGGCCGAGACTCACCAACACCACAGAAGCGGGCCCCACTGGTCCTGGGGAAGGGAACGTTCAGGTCCTGGTATGTGCCGTAGGTGGGGATGGACATGAGGGGAGGGTTCACTAATGACTCCATGCTCTGCAGGGGGAAGGGGGTCTGCCGTACCGGAGAGGCATCCTCTGTCAGCTGAACATGAGACAGAATGGATGGAAGGTTTTGTTTAAGTTTATGATTAGTAGACAAGGTTTAACTTTACGATTACTTACTTTACAAATAATACAATAATTACACATCCCAATTCTAAAGCTAATAGTTCTAACAGTAACGTTACATGTATCTGTTTCATGGTAAAAGCTAAATGTAACTTGGAGAGGTATTTCAAACCAAGGATTTCATAATGATACAAATTGTAGGTCTACTAGTAGAATGTACAATCTATAATGCAACAATATGTACTATTTAGCTTTTACCGAGAACAGCAGCCATTGAACTCTAAACAAAACCTTGTTGATTCCATTTTTTGGAGTACTAGTAGTATCAAGCAAAAAGCATAATTGCTTATATAAAGTCTTCTACTCAAGAACATAAATATAAAATCATTCCATTTGCAATATTGACAACAAAACAAGAGAAGAGCAAACTAGATGCAAACTGTGTCTCTGACACCCATTGTTTCTGAACTTATATGGACTGTGAGTGTGGTAATTGCAATTGTATCTGGACATCAGGTTGAGTTTATATGTAATAGAACTGACCGAGATATTGTCCAGTGTGTTGACCATCTGCCTGATACAGGCCTCCAGACAACCATGGTTCCGCCGTACATACTGAAGGGACGTCTCACGTAAGTTCTGGTGAAAAATAAACCAAGATTTTGAGAATACACAGAGCACGGATAGCTATAGATAACTGTCTAAAGTCTACAAGTAGCTGCATAAGTGGACTTATGAAAAATACATGGTAACATATTTTTATTTATTTGGAAGTACAGGCTTCCGTAAACTTAAGGGAACTTAAGTACGGTATGTCCGTAAATTTCTCTGCAAATTGCTAATGATAAAAGTCTTTCCACTCATAATAACAACGCTTGAAATGAGTTGACAGTTCAAACCTCTACAATTTATCCCAATTTCCCAAAACTTGCAGACAAACAAAAACTATTCTTCTTCTAACTTCCCAAAACCCACAAATTTTAGAAAAGGTGGGACATTATGTCTTCCATGGTTTACAAAAGAGAAGTCAAACGCTTCAGACATAGTTTTAGACATAGCAATAGTTTTATTTTGAAGTTATTTTATACTCTGAATCTACTTTCTGAATCAGTGTTCTTTTATGTTTGTAACTTACAATTAGCCTTTGGGCATGGATTTGTAATAAACTTTTCTTAAAAACAATTCCACTAGGTTGTCACTGACCTTCAGTAACGTAGTCTGTAGTGAGTCAGTGATGGAGGTAGGTCTGATGAACTGGAAGCTGGGCGCAGCGTTGTTGGGGTACTGTGGAGGGAACGTCACCACCACCTTCACCTCATGGTTCCCGCACACCGCGTACACCGTGCAACATCGCTTTATCATGTCCACCTGGGGGGGGAGGGGTGTGATTAAAACTTGAAATGTGGCTACATTTAACCATTCAACCTTTTTCGACATGTCTCTTTTGCATGTAAAAAGGTAAAGGTAGTCTCGTAGCCTCTTTGAGGCCCTAGGGGCAGTGGGTTGTTAATTTACTGTGTCCAGGGCACAGTATTAGAAGGTGGAGCTCAACCCTCTCCTTCTACTGCCTTTTACCTCCCCAACTGAAATCAGATACCCATTTTACACCTGGGCATTTTGAGAAAAGTCATATAAAAATAAAGTGCCTGTCCTTACATCTAGCAAGGATGTAAGGAATTGAACCCATGACCTCATGTTCTCATGCCCACTCGTAAAGCCAGTTAGCCATTTGGGGAAACGACTGCACATAGCTTAACAAAAGTTTAGCTTCATCTGGTTGCTTTACCGAAACACACAGACCTCTCATGCTAGCCCAGTGTTCCTGGTGTAAAGACAAGCTGTGCATGATGTACAAAATGACTAATAAACTGTTGGACGTACCAACCACTAAGTATCTGACACCAGTCCAAAAAAAGAACAAGAAACAGTCATGCCTTCAAATATCAGAGTTATCCACCAAGAATTGAGGTGTTCAAAAACTTGTATTACCCAAGAACTATCGTAGAGTGAAACTCGCTACCACGAAGCACTGTCTAGTGTCTAGTGTCTAGTGATGGGGCAACATCACTAGACAGGTTTAAACAACTCCTGGAATTAAATGTGCAAAGATTAAGTGTAACAAGTTGTTCGGTGTGATACAGCCAACTGGTGCCGCGCCGCGTGCCTGTGAAGCTGGTGTGTTATGCTGAAGGGTGGTTATACTGGCTATACAGATACAGACACAGATACAAGCCGTACCTCACTGATCTGGATGTTCGGGATGGGGATGTTGACCAGGAGAAACTCCTGCTGCAGGGTCTCCGGCTGGCCCATCAGGTCGTCCTTGGACTTCTGCGGACTGTCCAGCGAGTCGCTGGTCACCCCGCCCGTGATCTGCTCGATGATGCTGTTCCTGGTGCTGCTGGCCTCCGACATGGAGTCTGTGGTCTCCAGCTCCGTGCTGTCCTGCAGGTCTGTGTGACCACATAACTGGGGAACAGGCAATAGAAGTTACAACAACATATATACCTGGATCTATACAGTAAGCACATCTTCCAGTGGCTGTAAAGACAGTATCAAATTGGCCAAGCTGTATCCATTTGCTTTCAGTGGCAACTCTCTGTCTAAAGTTTGCTGCAACTCTCTGTCTAAAGTTTGCTAAGAATTCCGAGATTGGCTACCCAAACTCAGAGGTAGGGTAACGAGACAAAGAAACCAACTGGACCAATTGCCAGCACACACACGTCAGTACAGCAACAGCCCAATGCCATTTCTAACCAGTTTGCTAAATAACAGTGTGTAGATGAATCCCTTAATTATTTATGCATTAGATAGGATGTATTTGTAAGTCTATGACTGTAATATTGTTACTGATTTTATTGTCCTAAGTTTTTATTACTAGTACATGTACCATAGATATTGACTACTGAGTCAACAATTGAATGTGTTGGTCATTGTTTTAGATAATAGCATTGTACTACATTGTACAATTATAGCTTCATTTCCCTATGTATGTATGTAAGAACACACAAATCAGGGTTAAATTGTTGAAGTCATACACAACATAACTTACTCTCTGTAACTGAGGGTCAATTTTCCATATTCTCAGACTGGAGTCCTTAGACCAAGTCACTAACTGGTAGTCAGCATTGTCTGGAACAACATGTAAATGAAATGTTAGTTACCATTGACAAGAGAGACCAGTATCACTAATTAATAGTCCATAATGATATTTCATATCACATTAGGCCACAGCAATTATTATGGACGACGTCAGCGACGCATTAATTTTTGCCTGATTTTGTAAAAAAAACAAGAAATTTTGTTGCCTTCTGACAGTGGTCAACATGCCGAAAATGGGCAAAGATGTCTGTTGCCATGCTGGAAGGAGGATGGCAGATAACTATGAAGAGAGGAGACAAGAAAAGGCTCTGATTCAATGTTTTGTTTCTTACTTTGATGCAGTGATATGTGATGCTGGCTATGTATATGTGATGTTTCCCACTGAATCAAAACCATTTGTACAATGATTGAGTAAAAATTTTAAAATGTAGGAACCTTGTTTTTTTCAGCCTGTCTTGTTTTTTTTTCGCCCGCTTGCATTAGATTTGGAGTTTGCGGAGGATGTCATCCATAAAATTCACTTGCTGTGGCCTTAGTATATACTAATTGCTGGAGATTCTAATTTCAAAGGTAATTGCAGAAAAGTCACATATGATCCCCTTCACCTACCCTCATTCTGTTTTCTCCACTGGAATTCTAACACCACGTCTGTGTGTCCCACGAAGGTGTGTATGGGGGAGGTCAGGTTGTCTGTGTTCCACAGTAATAAACTGTTCTCCCCCCGCCTCAGCTGTGGGACCATCACCGTGATCAGGCCGTGCCCAAATGGCTGCAAGAAGGGGAGGCAGAAAAAAAGGTCATGCAGTCTTTTCTACTGGCAGTACATGTGCGCCTCCTAGCAGAACACAAAGGTACTGAATTACTGTGACCAACTTGTATCATTACACATAGCACTGCCCTCTCAGAGTACATACCGTGTATCGAGCTCGCCACACTGGAGCACCTGACTTCAGCATAGACGTGGCTCTCTTGGGGTTTGTCACATCCCAGAACTGTGATGGAGAAATTTGGGAAATCAGCAATAACAAAAAATATGTAGGAGACAAAGATGTACATTTATGTACCTAAAACATTGACCAACAGAAAAACACATTTGAATTGAAGACTTATTATTTCTGCCTGTTGTTAATGAATTTGACCTTGAAGTCTGACCTTGACAGTGCAATCCTGGCTGGATGAGGCCATGAGGTGTTCGCTGGTGGGGTCCCAGTCCAGCCCGTGTACCTTGGACAGGTGGGCTGCAATGTACTGCACAGGTGTGCTGCCTTTCTGTGGGGTAGAGGGAGGAGAGATATGGATAGTCAAGTTCACAACTGTCTTGCCATGTTGGACTTCAAATGAACAAATAAAATAACTAGAAAATTAACGTTTGCATTTAGCAAATATGAGACGTTAATTTTCACAAGGTAGCCTAACAAACTACTGCCCTGTTTATTCTTACTTAAACATATTCATATATATGGTGACCAGTTCCTCCGACTCTGTCCTGAAACATGCTATGTAATGTAATCCAATACCACAGGGTGTCTGCTGCAGCATCAGTTACCATGGTGACAGCTGTCTGGTCCAGGTCATTGACCTTATTTGCTTGGAACAGACGAGGAAGAAACAGATCCTGTGTTTTCTTTCTGAATACAGTTACACACTCATGTTAAAGATACAAGATGTTATTCTAGGATATCACCTTTCTGATGTAAGCTTTCAATGTATCAATAAGCTAATACTGGTCGGGAAAAATACCATCTGTAAATTTCAATACGGTCAAATAGATATTATTTCAATGTCTAAAGCTGAATGCTCCTTAAGAAATATGTAAAAAGTCTGATGTATTTGAACTTGATGTATTTGAAATATTTTGTACTTGAACAATAAAGTTGGAAAAGAAAAGCAGATCCTGTGAAGTAAAACAGAATTAGATAAGATAAATATCTACTAGTATATTCTATCCTTACCCTCTGGTCCCAGACCCGTATGTCTCCCTCGTGAGTGGTGGCCAGCAGGTAACTGTTCACCTTGTTCCACTTCACCTGAGACGCTCCAGCTGTGGTGCAAGGGTTTCAAATTTACTTGACGTATGTGCAACAAAAACTTCATATTGACACAACAATAAAGAGACTGTGTAATAGTTCCTTACAGTTTTCAGACCATGGACAATGTGAAATTAACATATTAGTACCAGTCATACATTTATATCTGCTTCAGTACAGCGACAGACTTCAAACTAAGCAACAACCAGTGTCCTCCATCATCTGCAAACGCCAGCTCAGCTGGTTAGGACACGCTGTCAGACTCCCACCTGTCAGACTAGCCAACCAAGTCCTACAGTGGTTCCCAGAAGGACGGAGAAGAAGGGGGCGCCCAAGGATGAACTGGCAACAGACAGTGGAGAGGGACCTTCAGGCAGTCAGCATGAGCTGGAAGGAAGCCTTGAGGCTGGCTGCTGACAGAGGAAGCTGGGCTGCTTTGACTGCCTCATGCGTCACGAGACGCGGGAGCCCCTAAGTCTAAGTAAGTTAGTCAGTACAGTACAAATACACAATATAAGGGATGAGAAGCCTTTGTGGACTCACCAACTGCATTGTAGGCTAGGGACGGCTTTCTTGGGTCTCTGTGAAATAAAAAGACACCAACATGATCATGCTTCCTTCCCATTCTTTTGTCTAATCTTTTAGTTTTACTTTCAAAGAGGGGCATACCTTTGACTATAATGCAGTTTACTCTCAATACAAGGGAGTGGTACATGGGGCTGTCACGCCTTGTGCAGTCAAATAAGAAAGAGTATGGAAACTTGAATCTTTGATCAACATGCTCACCTGATGTCCCACAGGTAGATATAGGTGTCCACAGAACAGGTGGCCACAGTGTTGGCATCTGACATGGACCAGTCCACATCACTGGAGGGGAGGAAGGGCACAGAGAAAACACAGTCAATCTATTCAATGGTGACAAGTTTCGTATTACAATACTTCTGGTGAAGAAGAAATAAACATTAATTCTAGGTTAATAGCACTTAAGTTTGCAGCCGTAGTGGTTCCTTGTTCTATTCTGTACAGTTTAACAGTACTCTCAAGTGTGTAACCATACCTGATAACACGGGTGTGGCCCTTAAGGACTGAGCGAGTTTTCAGCTGACTGTCCTGGAAGCTGTACACCTCAGCTGTCTGGTTAGACTGTAAAAATACAAAAAGTTGTTTCACAAGTACAAAACAGTGTCATAATAATTAATATAAAACTTTATGTACTAGAAAAGAAAGGAGCAATGTTACTGGTAGGTAGGTGGTTAGATCTATTGTATCAATGGAGTTTCTGACGTAGGGAGAGTAGTTGCTGCTGCAAATGTACGCTAATTGAGCAAAGCTAATCCCCAAACAAATCTTTTGGGTAGCTACAAAGACTGTATCAAATTGGCCAGGCAGTATCTATTGGCAAATGGTAACTGTCTGCAGGTACAAAGGAACTGGTCTAGCTGACAACGGTCTTCAGATTCAGATCAGGAAGATATCAAAATTGGAAGTTCAGCTGCAGTACCATAAGAAGCCACTAGGGGTCCCAAAATCTAATCATTTCGAGGTCTTATCAAAACCTACCCACCTACCAAATATCAAGTAAATCCATTCAAGCCTTCTCAAGTTATCATGTTTACAGACACACAGACACACGCACAAACTCCTCCGAAAACATAACCTTCTTGGCGAATGTAATAAGAGATTTGAAAGACCCTTACAGCTGCTACGAAGAAGTCTCCGTTGGAGGCGTGCGGACACCACTGCACGGCGCTGACTTCCCACTTACTCTGCCGAACACTCTTCTTCTGCAGCTCCGGCTGCTGGTTATCCAACTTCACCAGCGCAAAATGTTTACGTCTGGACACGGTCAAAACAGGTCAAAATCAAAACATACATGTATATACAGTTAATAACTTATACATAGTTTGTTACTCAGAAAGTCTCTAACATGACTTTTCCATCCAAACATTGGTGTAAGGACATATACAGACAGTAAGACGATACACTATTGTCCAATGGTTAGATGTTACTAATAGGTTAACTAAACAGGTTGTTTAATAGTATAATAGTCAGCTGCTGTTGTGCCCTATGCCTGCAAAGCTGTTATGCCGAAGGGGGTTTATGCCAGCTATACAGATACGATACCCTGTAACGTTACATCCAGACAAAAAAAATGGTACAGGATATTACAAAAGATAAATGCAGTTAAAGAGCAGACACCTTTGTTGATGTACTAAAAAAACATTCAAACTGAATCTAGACCTGGAGAACTCACCCTGCCAACAAGGCATGACAGCCTGTGCAGTCCACTGCCATCGCGGTGGCCTGGAGAATACAGGTAAGGATTCAACACAAGATCTTATAGCTGGCTGTCACTTCAGCACAATTTTCTGCTGATATATCCACGAACTCTTCATTACTTTACACAAACATACAGATGACAGTTCCATAGATGCTGTTCAAAATTAATGCCTTTGATGTGATACAACAAGATGAAGCACACAAGGACTTTGACAGAGGCAAGTAAGGACTAGTCAGGAGTCGTTGTCCATATAGGGATAACGTTATAGTCAGGAACGCCCCCCTCCCACTGCACCAGTTCCAAAGTTGGACCCAAATTGGGCGCCTTCAGAGTCCATGTCAAACGCTGTGACTGATGCATATTCACGAAATAGGTTATCGAAGTCCTACGGGGTCTGTTAAAAGTCGTTATGTTTGAATAACTCACCTGCAAATCCCGATATTCCGCAACAACATTTTCACTGCTCCATCTCGCAGCCATCTTGGCTAAACTACCGCAAAACGGGCCCTTCGACCTCACAGACCACTATCACGACATCGGGTAAGAATACCACCAACCCATGCCTTCCATAAAATAAATCTATATTGTTGGATGCTTCTATCCTTCAAAACACAGATTTTACGTCCAAATGTTGTTCCCGTAGTTGTGTTCGCGGTTCAAGAACGATTTATTCTTACCGGAAAACGTAATAACTGTCGTAAACCCAGGTTGTGCAGCTGATTTTGGATGGGGGAGGGGAAAAGCGTCCACAAACACCAAAGGTTGTGTCATCTGTGTCGTCTTTCCACGACTTTCCGCTGTCTGTTGCGGCCTGTATGTCGACTAGTATCGAGTCTGGTTCTGTTGAATTGGTACAGCGTGTTTAAGAGGTGATTTTAGTGTCTGCAAAGCTTTCAGCATGTGATTTTTAAAGGGGGGAGGGGGACGGCAAAGTTTGTTTATTATTTTCGTCATCGTTGTTTTTGTTGTGCAGTTGTACCAGCTGTGCACGTCTGTCCTCTAACCTGGTGTATATTTGGAACATATTTGGTTAATCATGTGAAGACTAAGCATACATGTATATTTAGCTATAACCTCCCTGATTTCTGATTTTTAAACCTCCTTAATTCAGCATACGCTACGAAGGCCTTGGTGGTCTACCGGTGTTTTATAATTACAATGTATAGCCAAGGGGCTTCAACAACATAATAATTAACGTTACTAGATTTTTTGTTGATCATAGTTAGGAGATGCAGAGAAATGTTTTATTTGATAATCAAATAGGCTCTACCTACAACTAACTGTTTAAACTGTTTAAAGTAATGCCTGAAGCTATTGACATGGTGGTCCTGTCAATAGTGGGAAGATTTGCATAATTTATTGACAGGATGATCCTGTCAATAGTAGAATATTTTGTGCTATTGACAGGATAACTATGGAGATATAACGTTATACGTACAATTCACAGCAGGATGATCCAGACATAGATCCAGACATCTATTGTACATAGCACAAAATTTGACAGGATCATTAAGAGTGATTACTTTCTTCCAAGTGGTAATTAAAATTTCTGTATTTTTCACTGTTATTAATAAGCAACAGCAACAAGATAAATTGCTAATCTTCGCAGTTTATAGAAGTCCCAACTCATCCCCTATGAACAACGAGATCCTGAACGCCAAAATTAGGAACAGCTATGCATGGAGATACTCCCACATACTATGTTTGGGTGACTTTAACTACCCTAACATATCATGGAGAGACGGGGAAGGAACAGTACATTCCAGCAACTCTGATGGGGGAAGATTCCTAGAAGCGGTCAGAGACTCCTTCCTCCACCAACACGTTTCACACCCTACGAGATATAGACTCAACCAGGAAAGCAACATACTCGACTTAGTTCTGACTAATGAAAGTACAATGGTCGAGGACATAGAAATACGGCACCCAATTGGAAAGAGCGACCATGTAGTGCTCTTGTTTGAATACAACTGTTATGCAGCATGGACCTATGAAAACCCTGAATGCTTCCAGTACAATAAGGGGAATTATGAAAAAATGGCAGAGGAACTTGACCTCGACTGGGAAAAACTGCTCCAAAACAAAAGTACAGAAGAGAGTTGGACGTTGTTTGCTGACAAAGTAAGAGCTGCTGTGGACAAACACGTACCCAGAAAGAGAATCAAGAAGAAACAAAAATTGCCATGGAAAAATAGGACAGTTGTAAACAAGTTGAACCGGAAACAAAAAGCTTGGAAGAAATACTGTGGGACGAAGTCAGAAGAAGACTATATAAAGTACACCAAAGCAAGAAACCAAGCTAGAGGGGCGACAAGAAGGTCACTTAAAAACTATGAAAAAGAAATGGCAAGGAATATAAAAACTAACACAAAACTTTTCTGGAAGTATGTGAAGCAGAAATCCAAAACATGTGAAGGGATACCTGAGCTATCTGATGGCACAACAGTGGCAACAACCAATGCTGCAAAGGCGGAAATCCTGAACAGATTTTTCATCAGTACTTTTACTAAGGAAAATCTTTGCAGTATGCCAAAAGCAAAGGAACAGCAGTACGATGCAGATTTGTTAGAAATTGATCTTTCAGTGGATAGAGTGTATAAAAGACTCAAGAACGTCAACCAAAATAAGTCAATGGGACCAGATGGAATCCATCCAAGAATTCTAAAGGAACTAGCTGAACCCCTGTCGAAGCCACTGTCTGTCATATTTACCAGGTCGCTCCAAGAAGGTAACCTACCAAGCGATTGGAAAGTGGGGGACATTACACCGATCTTCAAGAAAGGCAGCAAGAGGTTACCTGGTAACTACAGACCAGTGAGTCTGACGTCAGTAGCAGGTAAAATCATGGAGGGAATGATCAGAGACGACATAGTAAACCACATGAGATCAAACAACCTCTTTACCGAGCACCAACATGGGTTTTTACCCGGCTAGATCGACTACCACCCAACTATTAGAATGTTTAGAGGACTGGACAAAATGGCTGGACAATGACATGCCAGTCGACGTCATTTATATGGACTATCAAAAGGCGTTCGACTCTGTACCCATCCAGCGTCTGCTGATCAAAACAGAAAGCTACGGGATAAAGGGGAAACCACTCCAATGGATTGGTTCTTTCCTCACTGGACGTAAACAAAGAGTAGTGGTAAATGGATCCAGATCAAGCTGGGCTCCCGTCAGTAGTGGAGTGCCCCAGGGCAGTGTACTGGGACCAGTTTTGTTTACATTATATGTAAACGACATGCCGGAGGTAGTCGACAGCACGCTGAAACTTTTCGCAGACGACACTAAACTGTATCGTAGTGTGGGTGAAAGTCAGGACTGTCAGGAACTTCAAAACGACCTGGACAAACTACAGGACTGGGCCAGTACCTGGCAACTTAAGTTCCATCCCCAGAAATGTACTGCAATGAGGATTGGAAAAAATCATCCCGACCACAAGTACACCATGAGAGACAACCATCACTCAGACACAGTGGACCTACAATTCACAAAACAGGAGAAAGATCTGGGAATAATTGTGGACCATGAATTGTTATTTCGACAAACATGTTACATCTTCTGTTTCTAAGGCAACTAGAATGACAGGTCCACTCTGGCGTACCTTCGAACATGTGGACAAAGATGTATTTACCATGTTATATAAGGCGCTGATCAGACCTCATCTTGAGTACGGGGTGTCTACATGGTCACCGGGTACCTGGAAACTAGCAGAACTCGTCGAACAGGTACAAAGACGAGCAACTAAAAGAGTCCCGGGCATACAACATCTATCATATGAAGAGAGGCTGAGAGTCCTGAAGTTACCAACCCTGCTGTACAGGAGGTTACGGGGAGACCTCATTAACACCTTTAAGTTTGTACATGGTCTATACGACACAACACCGTGCATACCTGATAGACAGAGGGAGACAAGAACTAGAGGCCACAACTTACGGCTAAAAAGGACTGTAACGAAGACAAACAAAAGACTACTATTCTTTAGTAATAGGATAGTCCCATGGTGGAACGAGTTACCTGAAGAAGTCGTCAGTGCGCCAACAGTTACAGCTTTCAAGATAAGATTTGACAAGCACATGGAATATCACCCAGTGAAGTACAGCTACAAGGCACTGGACCATCCACACAAGCCAACAGTGACAACCGTATGAGGAGCGGTCTAAACTGGAGAAGAAAATCCTACATGACCGAAGATCTACTCTACTCTACTCTACTCTAATGTTTAACATAATCTTCATGGTCATTTGATAGTCATGACATGTTGGGATGTGTATTGAATTGATGTTCATTGAAACTGTTCTGTCACTGTTGTATGGTTTGAAATGCATTCATTAATGAATACATAAATGATTTTTATGATGATAAAACATTATCACTATTACATATAAATTTACATGTAGTTTTGCATCTTCTTCATTTTCCCAGACACCAGGACAGCAGCTAACTGCCAGAAGGACCAGCTGAACTCTTTGTTAGTTCAATATGGCACCAGCCAGGAAAAAGAGAAAACTTGGGAAGAGTGTTCATACAAAATACAAAAAACACGACACTTCACTACTACTAGCTGCAGGCACCTCCTCTAGAGCCAACAAACCACATGTTGCAAGTTTTGACACTCTTCCGCTGGAATGTAGAGTTCTCATCTTCTCTTTTCTATCAGACTGGGACAAATGTAAGGCCTCCACTGTGTCCAAGTCATGGTTTGCCACGATCCGGAGCCCTATACTGTGGCAGACGGTCGACTTCACCACTTTCTCTGTAGACACCAGAGACGAGTTCTACAAAGACTACGTTCAGACAGCCCTGGCACCCTTGGACTGGAAGGGCCATGTCCTGTACTGTTTCAACTGTTATAAGAAGAGATTGGAGCACTATGGTCGATACTTACGGTCTGTGAAGGCAGCGGTGAAGCATCTGCGGTTCCAGTTTGACCTGGGCCATCCTGAGGACCGGTTTGGGAGGCTGCTCATTAATGTCTTACGGGGGGTGAACTGTCGGAACCTTGTCGCCCTGGATGCAATGTGGTCACAGACCCTGTGTAGACCATTAATGCCCCACCCCTCGGACTACTTCCCTCCCTACGAATCCCCACCACTGGGAAAGGTCAAGGCCTTTCAGGAATTTCTCAAAGTTCTGGTGGCGGTCGCGCCCAATCTGAGGCAAGCCATGCTGCCGTTTGATTGGTCGTTTGAGTCCACGAGTCTGTTGATGCAGTTCAGGTATCTGACGGAGCTCCACCTGAAGTACTACTGGATCTTCAGTGTGTTATCCCAGGAGCAGCTGACGGCACTGCTGAAGGGTCTCATACACCTGAAGAAGTTCACTCTGCAGCTGAGGAACCGTATCACTCCTGGTGAGCTGAACATTGTTGTGCAGTACTAGTTCAGCTTACACACAGTCTCATTTGTGTAAGAAAGTAAACATGAAACAAAAAATGACCCCTCAATTTTATTTTTTGAATGAAGATCTTTAAAGCACATTTATGCCCTTATGGGCTGAATACGGGTCATGGTGATATCAGGTTCTATGTACAAACACAAGTACTTGTGTCACAAGTCTTATACATGTATCTACTACATCTATAATGGAGCTTGATACTATTATGTACGCAGGTGTCTTTGTGCTTCTTAAGACTATTATTGTTTCCAAGTGATGTCATCATGATAATGAACTTCACATAGCTTAATGATGAACCAATGCCCTTATCTGCACTTGTAGGTTCTCTCCATGAGCTACAGTACACCATGGAATCCAAGTCTATCCAACTCCTGGACATTTCCGGCTGCCAGGGCTTCTTCCTGCGCGGGATGAACATGCCCCAGCTGCAGAGGATATGGGTGTCCCGGCCGCGCTGGTCAGGTCCGCTCATCATCCTCAACGAGCACTCCTTCATCCCGCGCTGCGTGTACGGGGTTCTGGCTGAGGGCGCGCCGGCGCTCAAGGTCATCAACTCGTACAGACTGGAGGAGAACTGGACGCGGGGCATGAGCCCCGAACTCCACCGAACACTGCGCCACGCCTGCTCCTGTCAGAAACACCTCAACTCATGGGCTCTCATGTAGCAACATCTGCAGAGTTCTTACATACATGTCACTTTGTTTCTTAGGCTCCTTTTACTGTATCTATTCTAAGATAATGCTCTTAATTTAACTGTACCTTGTTTTGAAGAGCAACTTCTTGTACGTAGAACTTGCAAACTTCCAAGCAGTGACAGAAGTGCCAGTTGTTCATATGGCAGGACACAGAAGATCATGGTGCTGTATATGTATATCATTGAAAATATAGTGTAAGATATATACATATAACAGACCAAACCCTTCAGTGGTTTTACCAGGAGTACCTTAACTCATAAACACTGGTTCTGTGGGTGAAGGGGAACATGTCTGTGGTAGAAATACACCCCACATGTGTATGTTTCCTGTAGGTTTTCTGTCAAGATTACCTCATCTCCCAGGTAGATGGAAGACATTATATTGGCAAAAGGATATGCCAGATACATGCAGTGTTGCAGCTGTGCTCTGTGATATTTGTGTGCAGCTGAAGATGTCGGATAAGCTTGTGGCACATTGACACTAATGTAACAAAATCACATGGCATTGGGAACACTTGCACACTTTCTGGCAAAGTGGCATAGAGCTTGCAATTGGTTATTCTGGTCTAGACAGATCAATCACATGTACATATCAGGGGAAATATCAGGCTAGGTGTATGAGGCCCACCTTAGACTGGGAACAATATACTGTTCTGAAACCAGCTTGAACTCAGCTTTCTTCCTCACCATACTGGCAGTAGTGCAGGCTGGATAGTGCTATTGGTAGTAACTTTTTTTTTGGCAAGGCAATATAAGCTACAAGTACAAAGAAAATCATGATGAAATTTTTTGAGTCCCCATCGTCTCTTTTTAGTAACTATGGGTTTCACTCTACAATGATTGTGAGCAAAAAACAAGACCAGATAGTCCACAAAGGCTTGCATGTGGTAATAATGCAACATACCTTGTGACTTGCCATATCTATATTGTTTTGGATAACAGAGCTGTAGGTTTATGTGTGACTATGAATAGATTGACAGCACATGGGTGGGGAAGATCGATAGGCAGAATGACAATTGTACAAGGTCAGACACTGGAAATGGGGAGCACATAAAAGTCATGAAAACCCAAACTATGTACTGAAATCTCTGGTTTCTTGTTCAGTATGTTCCATGTTGGTTATCGTTACTTTTTGATGCAGTATCGTATGTACATGTATCAACGCCTGCAGAAGCATGCACAGTTTGTGACAGTGGTTGTATGGCCAAACATTATTTGTTTCTTTTTGTCCACTTCTTTTGAACAAATGTTTCTGCTACATACTGCAGAAGTGTACCAATGTTAGTGTATTGTATTATTTATATTTTAAGCTTTGTTTCGGTAACTTGTTGAAAAAAGAACTTTTATTGTAAGTAGATGTAGTCTGTTGACTTTTGTTTCAGTATCAACAAGGATCTAACTTTTGGAGATTTTACACGTCTCCATCTGTGATGGTTGCAGTAAAATACAGGCTAAGGTCACAGTTTTCAATGTTGCCTTCTCTTCATTGATCAAGCAGCAACATATTTATGCAGCCTTCAACTATTTTTCATTTCCTCATTGAAGTACTAGTATTCATCAAGATGCATTGGCTATGTACAATACGCTGCCTGCAGTTCAGTATAACCCCGTTAGATGTCGCCAGGATACATGACGTTGACGGTGATCTTGTTCCGAATCAAATCAAATCAAAGTCACGCACGATGTGGCTTTGTAAAAACTTCATTTGGCGCAACACACACACACACACACACACACACACACACACACACACACACACACACACACTAGGCAGTAGGACGAGATATACGTGGAATGCTTGTGCTTCTGATCCCATACATAGCTTCTCCTTTGAAAGTATTGTAGACCGTCATGGCATCGACAATCGGTCGGACCGTCCACGCCCTTTCTTGATTGAACCTCATTGAGTCAACGTACTTTATATATATCTTTAGAATAATTAAGAACGATATTTATGTCCAACAAAGTGCGGCAAAACAAACCAATGATTATGATAGAGCATATTCGGGGCTCATGTTGTGATCTTTAAGCCTCGGTCACAACCCGCCGTACGTGCTTTTTGTCCGTACGTTTTTTGGGAAGCTACGTCTGCTACGTTTTTTTCCTGAAAACGTGGGGAAGGAGTGGAATCGTGTGGTCTGCACGCCACGTCTGGCCGTGAGCGGTTGCGTGCATCATACGATGCGCAAGTGGTAAGTGAGTTGTACGTGCTTGCAACGTACGATCTCTTTGCGATTGCAATTTTACCGTAAGCAGCCCGTACTCACACGTGCGTCTTTCGTACGGGGCACGCGCTTCGCCCGTACTCGCACGCACGGGTGTTGAATCCGTAGACCGCACGCAGAAAAAGTTTTACATGCACTTAAAGTTCTACGGCGTGTCTGCGTGCTCCCAATCCGCAGGATTCCGTACGGAGGTGGTACTCACCACGCACGGATGCCCTACGTTTGCCCACGTTCTTGCACGTAGACAGCACGCAGAAGCACGTACGGCGGGTTGTGACCGAAGCTTTAGTTATTAAAGTTGGGGGAATTGGACGTTAATCGTTGGAGCTGAGAGTGAGATATCAAATCTGCCGCGACTGTAGATTCAGCAAATTACGATAGGACTACTTTGTGATGTTTTTTGGCGACGTCTCAGGGAGGAGCCTAATGGTACAGTATTGTGTGCAATTTGCAAGAATTCTAGGCATCGTACAGGAATTCTGTCCACAGGCATGGAAAGTCTACAGGAATGTCTCCCAGCTCTGTTTGTTGACGTGCCCACATTCCTGGAAACCCCTGGGAAGACCTGTCTGCCCCCGGATACCCTACTAGTTCTGTCACCCCGGGGCTCGTTCACTATACACACAGGGGAGGGGAGGGTACTAAGGCTTCTTCAAAATCATGAAATCATGGCAGTGCCATGCAAACAATAACCCTAACAGCAACCACCGTCGCCATGGCAATGTATGTTTTCATTGCCAGTCTTGTTATTCATGTTATATACATATACTGTCTTGTCCGGGCCTTGGTGACACTTGGTAACTTGGTAGATAAATTTATAAAGGAAGAGACGCGGGCCGTGTTGGGTTGTAATCTTAGTGTTCTACTGTCGTTTTTTTTCATGTTCCAGGGAACGAGATTGGGGTTATTCATGCATGCCCTGGTGACGAGACCATGCCACACCAAGAAGCCTGCCTGTCTGATGATCACAGTGTCATACTTGATTTATCCTGCATTTGCAAGACTCTTGGCTTTTCTTGGTTCGACCGAAAACAGGGGTGCCCGAGTATTCAGTGTTACGGAATACAGTGCACAGAATACAGTGCAATTTCACAGAATACAGTACAATGGTATTAGTATAAAGTGCAATTGTACGGAATACAGTGCAATTTTACTAGTATACAGTGCAAGTTTTCTAGTAAAATTGCACTGTATACTAATGCGATTGCACTGTATTCCGTACAATTGCACTGTATACTAGTGCGATTGCACTGTATTCCGTACAATTGCACTGTATACTAATGCAATTGCACTGTATTTCGTAACATTGCACTGTATACTAATACGATTGTACTGCATTCCGTAATATTTCACTATATTCCGTAAAATTGCACTGCATTATTCCGTACAAATTGCACTGTATACTCTGGCACTCCTGGAAAACGAAGATCAAGTAAAGTGGACCACCAAACGAGTCATACCATTGGTGTGGCCTCGGGTACACCATACCGTGTCCTCTTTCGCATTTTTTTTCGATAGCAAGGCACGTCATCATTACGTCATCATTACGTCATAACACCACCGGGCAAGCCACACCTTCCATGGTGCATGCGCACAGATTCACCACAATATACATACGGAACATGTACTGTATTTACAGGCGACATAGTAGCATACACCATATAGCAATAAGCTTTTTTTTCTCTTCTTCTCTGGAAACGTCCATGCAATAATAAGTATACTAATATCCATGCAACATAAGGGTTCAGTAGCTTGGATCGTGGCAATAGCGAGTCCTCATTAATACTGGTTTCATGTTACAAAATTTTCTTTGGAGACGGCGATTATTTAATAATTGGCGTAGTAAAGCTTGAAGGCACACTGTCGACGACTTCAAGGGACTGTGAGTTAAATTTTTGAGGATCAGAAGTATTCTGACGTATCTGCTAAGCCGACTCAAGTAAAACCAACATGAGTAAGAACTTAGTTTGTATCAGGAATACTTGGCGTGAAGATGCAGGTGTGCATAGGTATTGGTAATGAAAGATTGCACTTGGTTTATAATTATGATTGTATAGCTGTTTTTCTGAGATATTAAAGTCGTTGGTTTTGAATTATGAATGTTTTGAATGAAATACTGTCTAAATTAGATATAATTCAGTTTGTTTTTTTACATACTAATAACTAATTACTTTTGACTTATCAAGCATAAATTAAATTAAGGTATTTCCAACAGTTTGCTCCTACGAATGGTAGTTGGAAACTGTTCGGTGTATCGTCTCAGAGTCCCTTTAAGTCGCCATGCGGCGTGCCTCGGAACTGCAGTTCCAAAACAAGTTCTGTAGCTAGCCGTTACACAGATGGCACACACAATAGTTCCATATGCGCACCAGAAAATGGTGCGATTGACAATAATTCAGTTTCGCAAAGTGATGAAAAAGTTCGGAATCAAACCTACAATATAACACATAAAAGTATTGGAACTGTTAAAACACCTCCATAGCAGTTTTTGGTTGACGCTTCAGTATTTTCGTCTTTTTTTATTTAAATTTTCACTCACCAGACATCAAGAAACGATAGTGATCAGTGGGAACAGTAAATGTGGGCCACATCAAAACACCGACCGAAGGCTGCTATGTAGGTTGGTTGGCAACGCAAGTTGTCTATAGATAATCGGTATTGCAACATACTGACATCAGGAAAGCAAATATTTCGTCGCTATCATTGGTGCCAAGTTCTAAATAACGGGCACTGTAGCTAGCTCCATCGTCTAACAGTTTTGACAATATTGTGTCAACATTTTACACGTAATAACAAAAGTACTCATATAATATCTATCTGAGGATTCCGCACGATGTAGAAATGTTAAGGTGTTGATTTTTTGTCCATTTCATCTGCTAAATTTTCCTTACAAAGAGAAGATGTGGGACTGAAATGACTGAACACACGCTCGCTGTGACGTACATACACGGTTTGATCGACTTGAACGACAGAAGACGAGACCAGCCCCCCTCCCCCCTGCACAGTTCCCATCTGAAACGAGTACACAAGTGTCATAATAACTTCTAATTTCCGCACAGTTCTAGATTCTCAGCACATTTTTATTTAAATGACTGAACGGCACCGGGAGAAAAAGGCTCGTATTCAACTCTTACACTCACATCTGTACTTCGCACGTGCGAGACCACGTGGACATTTTGGGACATGCGCACCAGTGCTGATGCATAGAGAGCATGGAGTGGTGACGTCACGAGCACGAGGTGATGACGTGGACACAGACGTTAGTACAAGCCGCAGCCTCTGAGGTTGTTGGCGATGATGACGTCAGTGACGGCGTCGAAGACGAACTGGATGTTGCTGGTGTCCGTCGCGCATGTCATGTGGGTGTAGATCTCCTTATTTGGACTCTTGTTTTTACTCTCGAACTGTGCCTGGATGTACGCAGCCGCTTCTGTGTATGTGTTGGGCCCTGAGGTAAAGTCAGCAATTAAAACATTATTCTACCAAGCGAGGTGTAAGGTGTATGAAATATGCTACCTTGTACAAATGGCAATCACACACTAATGTCCCTGTCCTTGGTGCTGAACGACAATCACACACTACTTTCCCTGTCCTTGGTGCTGAACGACAATCACACACTACTGTCCCTGTCCTTGGTGCTGAATGACAATCACGCACTACTGTCCCTGTCCTTAGTGCTGAACTACAATCACGCACTACTGTCCCTGTCCTTGGTGCTGAAATACAATCACACACTACTGTCCCTGTCCTTAGTGCTAAATGACCATCACCCACTACTGTTCCTGTCCTTGGTACTGAACTACAATCACACACTGGAAGCTCCTTGATTGTACAGTATACGTGATACTATTTTTGTCGGGTTTGACTTCTTCTTTTGAGGCAGGTACAGGGTCTTACCGGTGTATTCTGGGAAGGCCATGGTCAGGGGCGACCTGGTGATTTTCTCCTCGAACAGGTCCTTCTTGTTGAGGAAGAGGATGATGGACGTCTCCGTGAACCACTTGTTGTTACAGATGGAGTCAAACAGCTTCAGACTCTCGTGCATTCGGTTCTGGGCGGGAAAGAAGAATTTTCAAGTTTGTTGTTGTTGATTGTTTTCTTCTTTGTCGTCAGCGGTGAGGCTAAATTTAGCAATGTGTTAGAGTTGTCCACCGCTGTGTCTTGTACTTTTTTATGTTGGTAGTAAAAAAAAGAAAAGTCAGACCGCTTTTTCACCCCTTGACTAGTCCGGACTGGACTACTTTTTCCACCAACCCCACAGTTAAATAGTGCGATTTACCATGAAAACGCAAAGAACGCTCTCATAGATTAACTTCAACGATATATATTCAAAGGTTTCGAACATGATCTATTTACCAAAATCATGAATGTTCAGTTTGGGCTGAAGGTGAGGGGTTTTTGATGTCTATGTTTTAACCATCTTTGTCTCGCTGGTGCTATTATGGAAGGGATTTCAGTAGCTGCACCTGCAGTGCCTTTCTGACAGGTGGCGCTGTGTACTTGTCAATGAATACTAGTATCTTACCGTAGTTTCGTCCTCGTGCAGTACTAGGTCGTACCCGCTAAGGGCTGCTACAAAAATTATGGCCGTCACGTCCTCGAAACAGTGGATCCACTTCTTTCGCTCTGACCTTTGGCCACCGACGTCGAATAATCTGTAACAGTCACCATAGTTCATTAATAGGGTGTTGTCACTCAGTACTGTCTACCATATGCATGCTAGATGGTTAAACCTTGAAGTTACTTTTAGTACCAGGTGATTATGTTTACGGAAGGAAAACATATTGTTTTTGCACTGTGTCCTCTTCTCCCGTTCCAAACACAAAAGGTCAATGACCAGAAATAGGCGTCTGTCGCCATGGTAACTGGTGTTGGGTTACATCATGTTGCAATTTTATAGAAGGAGGGATTTATACTCCTGTCACCATACACATGGATGTGTTTGAGTAAGAATTAACAAAGCACCATATGCGAAGGTGAACATTAAGCATTTGCTCTTTGTAGTTTGGAATTTGTATTATGTAACTTTAAGTTCACATTAATCACATACAAACGTAGACAACTGTGTTGTGTCAAAATGAATGAAAAAAGGAGCTGAAATTACCTGAAATTTAGATTTTTAAAGGTGAAATGTGTTTCTACAATGCCCGTCGTCTTGACTCTCGTCCGCAGGATGTCCTGTTCCGTGGGTTCGTACTCATCCGCGCCCAGCCGGTCCAGGTCGTCGAGGTAACTACACAGACACAGACAATAAGGCAATCAGATCAGAGACAGCACGCCGCGCCACCCCCGCAGTGGTATTGAAGAGCCCTCTAGCAGAACATGCAGGAACTGCGCTGCAGAAACACACACACACACACACACATACACAGACCCGCAAATTCAACTACACTACAGTAATGCCCCTGTCTATGTCCGTGTAACTGATCGTATCTGATACTTATGAACCCTCCCGAAGTCCAGACTGCCAAGTGTGTTCATTAAGGGAGTGACACTTATTGAACAGTTCGAGTGTGTTGGCCTTATCTCTGGGTTGCATAACGAAGGTTCTGGCGAATCTTCAAGCGCGGACGTGTTATCTGTCTCGCCAGTCTCTCTTTTCTTTGGCAGTGGCGCCTTGCCAATGTCCGCTTTAGGGGCTTGCAGACAAACGTCGTCTAAGGCCTCTAAGTTCTTTGATACGTAGGCGGTGTAGGACTAAGATCTGACTGTTCGTAAATTCTTTGAAAATGTCAAAGTAAGTTATGATGGTATAGGGCATCCAAGGTCACGGAGAAACACTTCGGCTAACCTTGTACAGAAAGCTTGGAAGTCAGGTAACGATTTAGCACGGGCAAATATCTACAGGCGTGTTTTGGCTGTGTGCCGAATCTGTGGTGTACTGACCACAATGGGTCAAACTTGCTGTATTATGATCGATACAGTAGCCTCATCATTGGACATGAAAGCTCACAGGCCATTGCGTTAAATGTCTATGTACGTAGGTCGTTATGTATTTGCACTGTATTATCTTTGTTTTATCCACCTTGTAATTATGCATGTATCTTGTCAATGTGTTTTATACTCGTTGTATGTTTTTGAGTAGAAGGTGTTATATAAGCAACTTGTGCTTTTTGCCCAATACTCAATAAATATATGTGAATAAATAAATGTATTAGCACCGATTGGCAAAGGACGTGTGCATTTTTCCAATGGCTGCGATTTCGTCTCTTCCTGCACTTATCAGGAGGATGGATTGATGTTACATAATCCCGACGTACTTTAGTATGTTGATGAGCGCGCGGAGACAATTACGGATTATCCGTCTGATCCGTTCGGTGATTCTTCATACTTCCTGACAGCGCTTCAACCCACGCAGGAACAATCTACTGCCGTCATTGTGTAAGAACCTTGTTGACGCGAGAAAGGTATAGAGACTAGACTATGAATAAAAGCAACACAATTGACACTAATGAATGAACATAAATGCAAGCTTTAAGCGCCACGTATGTGCCTTGTGCCGCTTCTACAATGATGAGGACGCCTAGTCATGAGGGAAGCATGGCTCTCCTCCATGATTTGGTCATTCAGAGTCCTCCTGAGCCCTCGCGGAGCACAAATTGTCCAGTCTGCCCGCCATGGCTCGTTATTTCACGCACTTAAAGTACATGGAAGTGTTCCTGTGGTGTCTATAGTATAGATGCTCGTCACGAATCTCAAGGATCTGAACGGACTTCATGTCACGACCGATTCTGGGTTTTTCCAGGCAAGCCCTTGTTGTGTAAGAAAGCGTCTTGATGATATGGAGTTAAAAGACCAGGCCTCCATCGGCAGGCCCTCTCCGATGTATCGAGAGTGCCAGGCCGCCGCTTGTTGTTCTAGGATTTTTTTTAGAGAAATATGAAGCGACAGGGCGAAAAAAACAGGCCAATGCACCCATGATAGCCGGAAATGTTTTTCTACCTCCATTAAGACAACAAAGGTCTTTTAATTTCCAACTGTCAGCTTGTAATCACCTTCCTGTTTCCAGCCCAAACGCCAACGGAGAGGGACGAATCTACTCTACTCTTCCAGCTTGTCAAACACAGTATGGTTCTCATAATCACGTTTGGTTAGAATAAAGGGACTTTACACGCATGAAAAATGTTCATATTATGTGGTACATTTTACTTTTCACAAACAAAGCCACACTGCCAAAACATTCCGGAGGAAACAGGCATCATAAAAAGGCAATCATCGTTGACATGAATGAATATGTATATTAGCATATGTAGCATGTCAAGAGAGACGGTTAGTAGTTTGTAGAACGTTGAAGAGATTCATCAGTCACGTATAGTATAAGTTCAGTAAAATAATTCTTTCAATCAGTGACTATTAATCCTAAGGTACATACCTCCGAATTTTCGACGACTAGTCAGTTCGTCTTGGTCACGGAATGATCCTAGTCTCGCAAGATAACGCGAGACTAGGACGAGACTTGCGTGGATCTTCTGCCCCCCTCTGCCTCCTTGCGGAGTAGAGGTAGGTAGGGCTTAGGCAGCTCCCAGCCTTCGTTGCGGTTCAGCTTGGCTCCCACTAGTTGGATGTGTATGGCCTCCTTGATCTTCCGATGTGCGTTGCGGGCTTCCTGGTCGATAATTTCGATCGTGTCTAGTATAGGTTGGGTGGTGACCCTATGTCCAGTCTGTAACTGGTGTTGACTAAGTGCAGACTTGTAGTCCTTACGGTCAATTGACTTCTGATGTTCTCCTGACCTTTCCCCCAGCGATCTCTCTGTTTCTCCCACATACGTCTCACGACTGTTCGCAGACAAATTTATAAATGACACCACACTTTTCACTCGGATCTAAAGGGTCTTTCGGGCTCACCAGGGCATTCCGTAGGGTGTAGCCTGGTTTTGAAAACAGGCTAACGTTGTGTTTGGCAAACACTCGTTTCAGTCTTTCTGTAGTCCCTTTAATGTAAGGGAGTACAGCAAAGCTGGAGGGTGTTTGTCCCCTGTCTCCACGTTGTGTGTCCTTGTGGTTCCTCTGCTGTGTTTTTCTGGTGTCACCTTCTCTAAGGGCCCAGTCCGGATAGCCGCAGTGACGGAGTGCGTTCCTCACTTTCCCTTTCTCTACTTCTCTCAGGGTGCGGTCCTGAATGAGAGTGTCTG